TGCGCACCGGCGCTAATCTATTTGTAACTTAATTATCTGTCGTTTTCCTTTTCTACCCTTCCTATTATCCTAATTCCTTCATTTGGACCTGACATGGACATCTTGGACTTCTTGGAACTTCAGGGTGCGAGTGAATCTTATATGCGAGTATGTATACAACCAGTAAATTTGTTTTTTGCGTGTTTTTGTTTATCTAAATACTTTATCTGTTTTAGGAAATTTTAGGTATATAATATGATAAGGAGGGTGGAGGGTAACTCCGCCAGGTATTTTTAACCTGCCGGTCCCAAGCCCGGATAAAGGAGGAGGGCCCTCACTCTTTTCTATTTTTTTCAGATTGTTTTCGTCGGGTCAAATCTTGTTTAGGTTGTAGATGGAACTTATGTGGATTTTGTCAGGTTGGAACTTTTTCTTTTTTAAAGATCAGTTCTTTTATTTACTTTTAGTATAGACTTCCTATTTAGCCCCTTGTTTAGGTAGGAAATTGACCCAGACAGCAATATGACGTCTTAATTAAGTCTGCATAAGCTCTATTTTATGATTTGGACTTAAAATACAACATTAGAAAGAAGTTTTTAAGAAGTTCTTAAGACTTCGAATGCGCCACCTATTGAACTAATCAAGACTTCTCAAAAAAGAACTCTTGAGGAACTTTTAATACAAAAAACAAAGAAGTTACAATCAAAAATGCTACTTTTTTGTGATAAAAAATCTCCGCTAGTTGTCTTACTACGACAATATTATTTTTGGTTCAAGCAACTAAGAAATACAACTTTCTCATCTTAATCATTAAAAATTTGTTTACTTATTTGCCCTAAAAAAATCTAAATATAATATTAAACTTACAATAAAGTGACAGAACCATATTTTTTTTATTAACTTTAATACCCTGTATCTTGAAAACAAAGCTTTAGAGCTTACAAGTTCTTATACCTACATTTTTCTTCCTATTTTTGTAAGTTCGATTACAAAATTTTCACGAATAAAATCTGGTAATACAGGTACAATTTATTATTATATTATTACAATTTATTATTATATAATGTTCTGTGATTGTCGTGCCGCCAATTTTAAGTTAAGCGGCACGGCAGTGATGACGTTTTTGATCTATTACGTCACTAGCGTGCCCGTAAAAAATAAATTGCAGGCACTCTAACGTGCACCTAGTCACTTCGTATTTTTTGTTCTAATACATTAACCTACCTATGATACAGAGCTGCAACAAGTCAGTTTTAAAAAGACTTAAATCTTTAGTCTTAAGTCAATTCTAAAATCAAAATGATTTAAATCTTAAGTCAATTCTAAGATAAAGTTTAAATGATTTAAGTATTAAGTCTTTGAATTAAATCATTTTCTTTCAAGTCAAGTAATTTTCTCAAATTCTTAAATCAATATAAAGTGATTTAAGTCATCTTATGACTTAATTCCTTTAGTAAGTCGTTTTTATGACTTAAGTCTATATTTTTATTTATATCGTGATATAAGAGTTAAGGAAATAAAATGACTTGAATAAAAAATTGTGATTTAAATCAAAATAATTACCCTTAAGTCAATACAACGATTTTTTTAAATGTTAATAATAATTTTATGGTATTAATGATACTGATATTATTAATCTATTGTAGATACAGATGATAATAGACCACTATGTTAAGAATTGAAAACGATTTATTTTCAGAACATGTTGCAGTGCACTTACATACAAAATAAAAACTTAAACCACCTTTTTTAGTAGAGTAGAAATACAGGGAGGCTACTTTTTTATATACATAAATGGGTAACTTCTAAACGGTAATAGATTCATAGATTGTTAAAATAGAATTAAAGCATTTTTCTTAAAATGGCTGTATTTAAAAAACTGATAACTTGTTGTTTTGTTAACTTTTGTTAGCTGGTTCAACATCCATCTAGAAAAAAAATATTTCTCCCTTAAGGGAGTAATGATGGGAAGTTCCAAACTCTCGATTCACGACCGCTTAAGATGTACGACTGCTCACGACCGCTCACGACCGATTGTTTCAACTTTGCACTAATAATCACAAATTAGACCTACTACGCACGAACACGACGAATGTTGGCAAACAAAATAACAAAATTATAAATCCCCACTTTTTTTAATTCATTTTAGACAGGACATTTTTTAATGTAGCCGTCAAGCGGTTCCGAAAAGCTAACTTTACACCGCGGCGGTTTTTTTATCCACTAGCGGCTGCCGCTGTTAAAAATTTATAAAAAAATATATAAAAAATCTGACTTAAATATTTTCTAAAAAGACTTAAATCTTTTTCAAAAATCTTTTTTTGACTTAAATCGTTTCTATTTGACTTAAATCGTATGTACTGATTTAAGCCTTTTATTAATGACTTAAGTTTTTTCTATTTTGAAAAAAATATTTAAGTCACAAATCATTTTGAAAATAACTTAAATTTTAAGTCTTAAGTGAGTTTTAGAGAAATGACTTATTACCAAATGACTTAAGTCATTAAAACGATTTAAATCAAAAAAACGATTTAAGTTTTCTGAAAGCTGGCAGCTCTGCTATGATACAGATATTCTTATTTCATAATAGAGAAGTTAGATTTTTTTAATAAATGCTGTTTAGTTAAAACTAATTTATTGAGAAATGTAGACCCAATGCACAAAAATATCACTTATATTGCACCTTACACTTTGTAATTTAATTAAATGCAGTATTTATATTCCTAAATTCTTAAACCAACCATTGTTATTGTGATACTATTAAGATTTATTAACTTTTAACGCTTAAACATAAGCGGTAACACTATAAATATTATTTCTTTCATTGACTATACTTTGACAGATACATAACCTGAAAAGCCTTAAATGCCAAATTTTCAAAAGACTGCGTTCCGTACGTGGTCACGTGGTGACTTTGAGATGTGGAGCATAGTCCATATCAAATATTTTTTTTTTTTAATTTTGAGACCCATGCAAATCTGAAATTGTGTTATTTTCATAACCCTTTTTTGTTGAGCTATTAAAACAAAATTTGGATGATTGTAATTTAATTTTACTGACTAGTAATTCTTTGCATATCATATTGTATGAGTAAAAACATATTTTGTACATTTCAACAATGGCCCAATTCGTTAAAATTTGCACATTTTTGCGATTTTTAGACGCTGCGCCAACCCCAGAATACGTAAACGTTGTTTTTATTTTCTTAAAGAAAAAAATCTAAAATTTAAAAGTTTTCAGAATTAGCTAACTTTGCCCTCCAAAATCATGTCCCTAAAGCTGGCAGAGCAAAGTTCCATAATTAGGTGCTAATAAGATGCAAATTAAATGCACGAGTTAAAAATTTAATGCTTTTTTTAACAAAAAATATGTTCTGCCAGCGTTATAAAAAGTTGGAAGAACAAAAGTTAATGGGCTAATAAGTAATTATAAAATGGATGTCAAAATGTTCGGATAGTTAAGTGGTAGTTAAATGCACTAATTAAAAATTCTCTGTGTCCGGATGCGGGACCTAATTTCGATACCGACTGACGTAATAGTTTTTCGATGCAATTGTTACGATAAAACTCAAACAAACAATTCAACCAACTCAACCCAACACTTTTCAACAAAGGAATAGTTATTATAATAAAAAAGAAGCATTAAATTTTAAATTAGCATTTTATAGCACCTAATTGGGTAGCGTTTAACGAAAAGGAACCAAGCGCCAAAAACTTTTTCTGGGCTTGGTAAAATTATTTGTAAAATAACTCATTTTGAATAATGCTCAAAAGGTTAATCATCATTTGGAATTTTTCTCAAAAGGATTGAGAGGGTTCCCAAAGCATTGTTAATTATTTGAGCAGCATTAAAAATGAGTTACTTTGCAAATAATTTTTTCTTTTAGAAAATAAAAGTTCAATGATTAAAAACATCGTTTACGCATTTTATTATAAAAGAAAAAAAATCAGGTCTCCAAAATTAGTAGGGCTGACTAGGGTTTTAAAGTGTCGAAAAAAAATTGAAAAATTGAGGAAAAAAACTTTTTTTTCGGTTTATTTTTAAACCTATGAAAGTTGGCTTATATGGGAAAAATTGATTTTTTTCGAATATATACACAGCAATCAACAACTTAAGTTTGTTTTAATTAAAAAAATATCCTTAAGGATAATAAATTTATTACAAAAAAAACAAATAAAACTACATTGAATTAAATTAAATTGATTTAAAAAAACAAACGTAAACGTTAAATATATTGTCGGTTGATTCCTTTTTGCAAAATGGGGTCCGGTCCATTGAAAATATCCATTTACAGAATAATGAATGATTTATAAAGTTAAATTACAAAATTACAATTTTATAAATCGATGTGTCCAATAAGATCCAATTAGATTTGATATGTGTACATATATTTGTAAATTTCCAGAAAAATTGCCTTTTGCATTTTTTTTTACCCTTTGAATAAAATTTAAAAATTGCAAAAGTCAATTTTTCTAAAAATGTCCCAAGTTTTCCGTATTTTTTCGCAGACTCAACTTTTCCGGAAATTTTAAAACCCTAGGGCTGACGCAGAGGCCATCAGAAAATCACAAAAATTACCAAATTATAACGAATTTTCATTGGTCCAACGTTCATTGTTGAAATGTACAGAATATGTTTTTATAATAATGAAATAATGAAAACACACTTACTACTCAGTAAAATCAAATCACAATCACCAAAAATTTTGTAATAGAAAAAAAGTTGTAGCTCAACAGAATTGAGAATGAAAATAACACAACTTCAGATTTTTATATCTCAAAAGTAAAAAATCCAAATTTTCAAAAAAATTTTAAAACAAAAAAAAATCCACATCTTTTAAAGTTTACAAACATTTACAATTTCTTAAAATCTCTAAAAGTTTTAAAATTTAAAAAATTTTATTGAAACATTTATTGGTTCCTATATTTTCTATTGGTTTTTTTATTGTTAAAATAAAGAACCTAGCAGTACAGATCAATAAAACAATAATTTACCAATAAAAATACCTCTATTTCTCTTACCTGCATCCTGTCCAGGGTAAGCTTGCCAAGCTTTTGAATCGCATACGAATCCTTTTTGTACGTACTAAAACCAGTGGTACGACCATCCGGAAAATGAAACGCGCCAACATCCTTTCGCATGGGCGACGACGGTTGAGAGTGCGTCGGCGTCGTGTGTAAAGAACCAGAAATAGCCTTGAATGATAAAAAAAATAACGTATTTTTTAAGCAAACTTCTTGTTCTAAACAACCTTAAAAGTGGTAAGGGCTCGAACAGCTTTGGAGTTCAGCGGCGGGTTTCTCGAAACGTGAAGAAAATCCTATAAAAAAAAGAACTGACGACTTAAAGAGAACCGTTAGCATAAGAGTCAATCCAAATGAAAACACCAAAAATGAATTTAAAAGTGCGCTGCATGATTTTTTATTTTAATGAAAAAAATTGAGAATTATCTTTTATGTATCATATATGAAAAACAGTTGCTGTTTTAATTTTTAGTTGCTTTATTTTTAATCGGCACCCTTTAGAAACCTGAAATCGTGTCATTTTCTTACTCTCTTATAAGAGGCTAAAACTTTTTTTCTGTGGCAATTATTGAAATGATTGTAATTTTATTTTAGTGCCTAGTAAGTAAGTTTTCAATATTAATTATTATAATCTAATTAGTTCATCTCAGAAAAGAATGGTAAACCACTAAAGATTTGTAATAATTTGCCAATTATTGTGTTTTTTGTCTGGCTCCTGTGCCTATTCTGCTAAATCTAGAAAGTTGCTTTTTTCAGGTATCAAGTACTTATGCAATAGAAAACGTAACTATTATTTTAAGTTTCTAGACTATCATTTTCTTTATTAAAAAAATTATTGAAACTTGGTAATTTTCAAAATTAGCCAATTTTGCCCTCAGAAATCATTATGTTGAGGAAAAAATAAAAATCTGAAACTTTCAGGAAATGTAGTCCCCACCTTCATCTTTTCTTTAGTCTTGTTTTGTTATTTTTATCCATGTAAAAGATATATTTTTTTTAATGCAGTTAAAAAGCAATATGAAATATTTTTGACAGTTCTGACATTTCTCTATCAATCATGAATTGACTAAGTCAAAGCCATCTAAATTATAAATAAAACTAACAATATCGCTTCTTAACTGCATTAAAAAAATTATTATCTTTTACATGGATAAAAATAACAAAACAAGACTAACTAGACTGAAAAGATGAAGGTTGGGACTACATTTCCTGAAAGTTTCAGATTTTTATTTTTTTCTCAACATAATGATTTCTGAGGGCAAAATTGGCTAATTTTGAAAATTATCAAGTTTCAATAATTTTTTTAATAAAGAAAATGATAATCTAGAAACTTAAAATAATACTTACGTTTTCTATTGTATAAGTACTTGATACCTGAAAAAAAATAGCTTTCTAGATTTAGTAGAATAGGCACAGGAGCCAGACAAAAATCACAAAAATTGGCAAATTATCATGAATCTTTAGTGGTTTACCATTCCTTTATGAGATTAACTAATTGGATAATAATAATTTATATTGAAAACACACTTACTGATCAGTAAAAAAAATTAAAATCATTTCAATATTTGTCACAGAAAAAAAGTTCTGGACCACTATAAGAGAGTAAGAAATTGACACGATTTCAGATTTCTAAAGGGTGCCAATTAAAAGTAAAGAATCCAAAAATTAAAGCGGCAACGAATTTTCGTATTTGATACCTAAAAGATCATCCTCAATTTTTTTTATCAAAATAAAAAATCAAGCAGGGCACCCCTTTGGTGTTTTTATTTGGAATGACTCATAACAGGAATTCTCACTCTTATCGGTGTGGTTTCTGGGGTAGCCTCGATGGCAGCCTCGGGTGGCGAGGTGCCTTCCTGAGAGGGAAAGGAGGCGCTGATCGCGTGGTGCTGCGGAATGGCGGAGGGGGCCGTCACCATTTCCGGCGTTTCCATGTGGAACAACTTGCTGGGAGTGAAGAAGTTGTTTCCATCCGACGAAGGCGTTTTCACCGTCAGACTTTTGAGGCTTTGTAATTGATATGATTCTAAAAACGAACAAATTTGAAAGTCGACGTAATACATAAAGTTCTTTTTTTTATCTGGACTGCGGCAACGTTGCAAATTTAGGGTTTTGGTTGGTAAATACAGTTGTCAAGTTGGTCGCATTGATTAAAACAAAGTAAGCTAGTTAAATCTAATTGTGGTTATGTATAAATTATTGTACAGTTGTCAAGTTGAGTTGTCGAAATTCGTAGTTAAAAATGCAATTAATTTGGCTTTGGTGGTGCTTGGATGAGTAAAATCATATAAAAAAACTAGTTAAATATAGGTTGCTTTACGGCCCAGAAGAGAAAGTATTCCTAGCGGATAATAATCTTCGCTTTGAAAAGAATTTATATAAAAGAAATTAAAATTTTTTGTGAACGTAAATGTTGTAATGGTGAATAATGTGAAAATAATGTTTAATATTATTATTCCAAATTCGTTACTTTTTTACTCCAAAAATGTCCATAAGGTACTTTTTCTTCCATTGTGGCATTTGGCATAATTTCATCAAAATGAAGTTTTGCCCTCAAAAGGGCTTTTACATTCGAATTCGTTGCTATTATTTTTGGCATAATTATCTTTTTATTTATAATTGACATTGTTTGGTTTTTGTTGGAAAATGTTGAATGCAAAATAATTTAATAAAATCACGAGACCGCGTAGCGGTCGAGGGGTTTTATTTTTAATTATTTTGCATGAAACTAAAATAATTGGAGGCTAAAATTTAATCGCTGTTAAATGGTTCTAGTGATTTAATCGCTTATTTAAACGAAATTTATTCGAAAATTCAAGGCTTTTGATTGGTTCATATTATAATGAGGGAAATAATCATATATTAAATCACGAGAACTATGAATTTAATCGGGTAAACTAGGCTCATTAGTTTTTTGTTTGGTTTTTGTTGGAAAATGTTGAATGCAAAATAATTTAATAAAATCACGAGACCGCGTAGCGGTCGAGGGGTTTTATTTTTAATTATTTTGCATGAAACTATTTTCTAAAAAGAAAAATAAAATAAAAAACTTACTGAGCATAGTTTGACACATTAAATTTATAGGTTGAGTGATATACGTCTAGATTATTTCTCGAATTAAAGGAAACTATTTGACAATTCATAAAATCCGACGTATGTGTCAAAATTTATAAATATTTTTTTAAAGAAAATTACATTAATTTAAGGTATGTAATAAGTAATAATTGATTTTTCGTAAACTAGATAACTTATTTTTTATTGTTTTTAAAAAAATGTTTGTTAAAACTTGTATAATAACACCATAAAATCGTAAACAAAAATCCAATATGGAGGCTAAAATTTAATCGCTGTTAAATAGTTCTAGTGATTTAATCGCTTATTTAAACGAAATTTATTCGAAAATTCAAGGCTTTTGATTGGTTCATATTATAATGAGGGAAATAATCAATAATAAATATTATTGTCAATTTGAAAGTGTCAAAGTATTTAATTAAATTCTTTAGCAGAAGTACAATTTTTAAATACTAAAAATACTAAGTCAAACTGGCATAAGCCACCAACCTAACAAAAAAACACGAGACCAGATAAAAAAAAATGAACAGTACTTAATCGTTGTTTTTTTTTACCGATTGTGGAATTTGATGTGCCAGATCTGGAGCGAAAGCCCATCGTTAGTTGACAGTTGTCATGGGGACATCTGTCGGTCATGTCCAGAGAAAATCGTTCGCATTCGACTATCACGTCATGGACTCCCATCTTTTTCCATCTAAAATGGCATACATTTAAATTATATTTTTCTCTGTAGGGAATCATTCTAGGAGGTAGCACCCAAAAAAAAATGTCTATATACAGGGTGAGTCATTTAACTTGAAACTTTGAAATATCTCAGTTAGTATGCATTTTACGAAAAAATGTTTAAAATAAAAATTAAATGATTCCTTATAGGGAAAACAGGGGGTAACTTTAAAATTTCCAATGGAACACCCCATTTTTTATTGCAGATTCGGATCATTCGACTAAAAATAGGTAAATTTTGTCTAAAACATTTTTTCATATTTGTAATAGATGGCGCTGTGATGAAAACAAATTCAATTTCGTTCGGATTTTTTCTGTATAAGACTCCAATAATTTTTGAATAAAATACTTGGTTTTATTTTTTAAATTTATTTATTTATTTTTTATTTCCACCTGACTGTTGCTCGACGAACTCTTTTTTTCGGTTGAACACTCCCGTTTGTAGTAAACTGCTCGACTGTAAGGTGAAATGAAGTACGTGATCGAATTTTTTCCGAAAAACGCTGAGCGTAGATATTAACAGCATCATCAAGATTTCTGCCTGCTTCTCCATAAATCAAAATCATTTCTATTTTTTCTTCCACTGTTAAAAAATCCATTATGAATAACTGCTTAACGAAAGGAAGTCTTTTTGCTTGCAAATTAATCTTGGAACTAAATTGATTAAATAATGCTAAACTATGTATAAATAGTTTCTTTATACCTTAATAATAATTAATATTTATAACTAAATACCATTTTTTATACCTTAATTAGGATTTAATTAATTAATTAACAAAATGTTTTTTTACCTTAAATGAGGTATTTTTATTAAAAATAGTACAATAAACCTTTAAATTAAAGGATTTAATGCTGGTAGGTAAAAAGTGACCATGGTGCGCAATTGATAATTATCACCAAATGAAATAATGTATAAAACTTAAAGCAAAGGAAACTTAAATAATAGTTAAAAAATCGTGGGTACTTAAAAAATCAGATTTAATTTAATAAGGTAATTATTACCAAAAAAAGTGATATTTTTATAGAAAAATTATTGCTGAATCGTATACGAAGAAAAATCGAACAAAATTGATTTTTTTCATTACAGCGCCATCTATTACAAGTATCAAAAAATGTTTTAGACAAAATCTACCTATTTTTAGTCGAATGACCCGAATCTGCAATAAAAAATAGGGTGTTCCATTGGAAATTTTAAAGTTACCCCCTGTTCCCCCTATAAGGAGGAGAGTATGAGGACCAATTTTAGTACTGATGGATTTCCCCCCTCGAATGCATACTGTGTGTACAGGGTGATCCCCTATAATGTCGCCCCCCTTTAACTTTTTTATTTTAAGTATCCCAAAAAAATTAAAAGTGTGGTTATGTAGGAACTAAAAAATACTTTTTTTCTACGTTTAAAGAAAATTGGAAAATTGATCAGTTATACAGGGAAAACCAAAAAAATTATTTTTTTTCAATGGATCACCCTATATATGAATTTATTTTTCGATTCCTTGTAAAATTCTGAGCATAATTCATATAACATACCATATACCTAAATTCAACCGTTTCTGAAATATTTAAATTATTTTTAAGATAATAAGTTGAAATAATTTGTCTTTCTCTGTCTGAGTAGGCCATTTTTACTTATTTAACAAGACATATTGACATAATATCACTATAATGATTTATTTTCAATACAAGTTTTGGTATACTGAGGCTTCTTGATTTCTAACAGTTTAAAAAAACATTTAATGATAACATTTCGAATGCGAATATTTCAAAAACAGTTGAATTTAGGATATGGTTTGTTATATGAATTATGCTCAGAATTTTACAAGGAATCGAAAAATAAATTCATGTATAGGGTGATCCATTGAAAAAAAATAAACTTTTTGTTTTTCCCTGTATATTGATCAATTTTCCAATTTTCTTTAAACGTAGAAAAAAAGTATTTTTTAGTTCCTACATAACCACACTTTTAAAATTTTTGGGACACTTAAAATAAAAAAGTTAAAGGGGGGCGACATTATAGGGGATCACCCTGTACCTACATAATTTTAATTTAATTAAAATTATGTAAAGTATAATCAGAGCTGTTCCGAGTACAATGAAAAAGTACTCGAGTACTGAATACAAGTACTCTTATATAAAAGTACTCGAGTACCAAGTACAAGTACAGTACCGTTGTACTCGAGTACCCATACGAGTACAAAGTACCGAGTACACTTTGTTTATGAAATGTTGGGGAAAATGCTAGAGAAATGGGGCGATTAAGAAATGAATTTAGAATTACTAGTGCAAAACTAAATACTAGCGGGCCTATATCCTTCATCAAATATTGATATTTCGCTTTATGTTAATTATTAAGGCTGGCTAGTATCTTGTTTTACTTTGCCTTAGCTTTATTTTTAATTATCTTTTTGAGGAATATTGTCAGCTTATTTCTACCAAAATATAAACAAAATTACATTTCATACATAAGTTCAATGCTTTTTCCTGTGTTTTTATTTATTGATTGAGGCTGTCTTAAGGCTGTCGTGTGAGGCAGGCTGGCTGAGGCTGCCTCAGGCAGCATTTCCGTAATTTGACAAGTCTGATCAGTCAAATTTTCAACACCCACGCACATATTTGCACATATGTATCCACGCCAACCTCACCGCATAAAAATGTACTCATTGCATACTTTGGATGTACTCGAGTACACGTAAAAGTATTCGAGTAGACGGGAAAGTACTCAAGTACACGGAAAAGTACTCGAGTACATTTTAGCAATCTTAAATGTATCAAGTACAAGTATAAGTACATTCAAATTAAAGTACTCGGGACTGAGTACCGAGTACACTGAAAGTACTTGGAGTACAGTGTTTGAGTACTTGTACTCGAGTACCGCACAGCTCTGAGTATAATTTTAATTATGTGAATTAAAATTATGCAAACAAAATTTTAATTCCTGTTTTTTTAAATAATCCATTATTCATGAAACATGATAGAAATTGTAACCTTTTTAAATACGGTAAATTTTTAATCCTATCCCAATTCTTTTTAATTGTATAAAAAGTGGACATCGATTAGTAAAACATAATAAATAAATAATAAAGGATGTAAACTAAAAAATAATTTTATTTATAAGAAAAAATTTCCAAATAAAGAATGTAAACTAAAAAATGTACACCATAAAGAATTTACAAAAAAAAACTAAAAAAAAAATATAACTTCATATTGCAAAGATGTTAAATAATTAATTTTTTATAGGTGCACAAATATTATAATTTTTATTTGAATTTATTTTAAGTTAATGTTTTTTATATAGTAATATTTATTCAACTATTTAAAACAATGTAGAATATAATTTATATTTATAATATTGCTGGAATTGAAATGGTCTTTAACATTATTTTAATTTCTAGAATTAAAATTATATTGTGGTATAATTTTAATTCATAATTTAAAATTATGTGTATATAAGTTTAATTCCTCTATTTTAAATAATCCATTATTCATCAAACATGCTAGAAATTGTAACTTTTTTAAATACAGTAAATTTTATATTCCAAGCAATTCTTCTTTAAATGTATAAAAATTGTACATTAAATAGTATCATAATAAAGAATGTAAACTAAAAAAATTATAAAATAAAAAATTTGAATGTAACCTTGCAAAAATGTACTAAATAAAGCATGTATCCTAAGAAAAAAAGTACAAAACAAAAAATGTATTTTTCCTATATAAAGAAATCTTACCTTTCTGTAGTGGTTTCATTATCTCTTGAGGCAGTTACCAAAGAAGGGTTCATCTTAACATTAGCCAACATTGGCTAAAAAAATAAAAAAACAATATTTACCACAACAAAAATAATTCATTGATACCTTAATCGTATGAACAAACACAGGATTATTCTTCTCCTTATACTGATTCCTTAAATAATTCAAAAAATTACAGGGGTACATCCCATACAGTCTTAAAAATAAGGCAAACAAAGCAACTTGCATGTGGATCATCTGGTCCTCTTCAAATTTTCCTGGACTGCAGTTCCAGGATGCTAACCGACTAAAAAAATAATTAAATTTTGATAAAAAAAACAATTTCAGTATTTTTACCTAAAAACTTCAAATAAATCCTGTAAATAATTCGCCATTTTCGATGGTAACACTGGCAACAAAACTATTACAAGTAGAAGGGCACTTATTAATGGTAACAAATCATGTTCACACTAAAAAAAAAGTATTTAATACATTAACATAAAAAAATATTTTGTACCTTTAACAACTTTAAAACATCTTTGAACAAATTATGGTCAGGCAGTGTATAGAGCCAAGTTGGTTGTGTTCTAGCAACATGTCCCAACAATATTAAAGCCTGAGTTTTTAACTCAGATGATCTTAGTGATTCACACAACCTAAAATATATGATTTATTAATATGTTAGCATGTTCATTTTTTTGTTGAAATATTTGCCTTTCAAACAAAAACTGATGATGTGGTTCCTTAATATTTACTAGCACATCCATGCTTCGTACACTGTTTGTCTTAAGGTAGTAGTCATAAATCCCGTTGAGGAGCCATGGATCGCTCACTTAAAACAAAGGAAACATTAATAATAGCTTAATAATGCATTGTTTAAAATTTTATTAATACCATTTTTAAACTGCTCTCTAAGCCGTTGTTTGGCGTTGTCAACTGATTCTTTGTCATTTGACTCCAAATCTTTCAGCAGTTCCATCTTAAGAGTTTTTTGGTCAAGTTTTTAATACCTATCTACAAGTAATGAAGCGTTGATTTCCTTAGGGGCTTATTGTTTACACAGCAGTACATTATTATAACTAAATTAAAGTAACCTGTTAAAGAAATAAACATAAATTAACAACGTCGAAAAAAATCACTTGTATATTGTGTTAATTTACACATGTACAGAGCGCTTACGTTGTATATTCTATAATCCATTATATTTGTTATCTAAAGCTCAAAATTTCTCTGTAATAATCTACATTTAGAGCAAATTAAAAAGAAAAAAGTTACCTTAAAATACGAAAGTTCTGGCATTCTCTGTCAAATACCACCGTTTTAGTGACATTTTAAATAAAATGTCACTAAAATTATCAGCTGATACCAACGTAGAAAACTGTAATTTTAAGAATAACAGCTGATTTTTACAAAGAAAACTGCAAAATGTCACTTTTTAATTGCCTTTTAACAAAATTATATTAAACAATATTATTTTAAATAAAGTTAAATAAACATTAAATTAGTGTGAATTAAAAATATTTAAAAAATCTAAATTATTAATTTGTTGTTATATAAGTTGCATACCTACATTTAAAAAATTAAAAAATGATTTTACTATTTTTGTTTAATTAGAAATGTTTAAAAGTAATTATTAATTAAATTTAGATATAAAATGTTATTATCAATTAACTAAATTGCCTGAACAAAATTACCATTTTTTATTTTATTTTTTTGGAAACTTCATCACAAGACTTTTGTCAAGTGACAACGTAATTTTGTTTTGATTAAAAGGCACTTTAATTCTACTTAAAATTCTACAAGAATATCTCTCATCATTAGCCGCTCCAAAACAAAGAATCCCAAAAATTCGGCGACGATCTTTTGGATCGCGCCCAAAAAAATATGAAGGTATTTTGACACATTTTTGACATTTTTTTGCAAGCGAAATTGTCGAGTACTCAAACGTTTGTTAAATTCTAGAGTCACAAGAAAATTACTGTGCCGGGTAAAGGTCCGCAAAAAGAGCAGGATCCAGCTTTAAAGAAGTTTTTTAAGGACTACAACGCGTGTTTTAGTAAACCAACAGGGACTTTTGGTGATGCTGAGTCCTATTTCAAGTTCACCTTAAGGAATCACGAGGATTTCAACCTATTTAAAGACCTAAAAGTCAACGAAAGATTACTTAGATCCAGCAGATCTTCAGAAAACTTAGCAAAGGTTTTATTTAAACATATTATGTTTCATTATTTTGATATTATTTAAATTGGTTTTATTTTAGCCAAAACTCAAAAAAAGGTTTCTACTATCAGCTAGAAGTGATAAACCTCCACCTTTAGACCAAAAAAGCGAACCAAAACTACAGAAAAAAGCAAAGAAATATAAACCAAGATTTAGGACTGAAATCTCTAAAAATTTCACTGCAGATCCAAAGGAAGAAACTGATTCAGAAGTAACTTTATTTTTAATTTTTTTCGAAAATTTCTAAAGATTAAATTAGGTAGAGGAATTCCTATCGCCCACTGGAGGTGACTACGAGGAATCGTCAAAAAAACTCGTAGTTGACTTATTTTTTGGCCAGGTAAATGAACTTTCAGAACCTGAAGTAGAAGAATCAAAGGAGGTAGCACCACCACAGGAAGTAACAACATTACCGGAAGTAACAACATTACAGGAAATAGTTTCACCACCGGAAGCAGTCAAGATGGCGGAAGACGAGGATATTACTGAAATGACCACAACAGCTGAAGATGTTTCAGCAGCTGACGTGAGTTTTTAAAGATCTCTTTTTAAAGTTATATAACATGTATAACCCTGATAGCACAGTTTATTCTAAGAATGTTTTTTAAACCTTCCAGTGGGAATATTCTTAGGATCATGCTATATTTCTTCTAGTCATGTTTTAAGAATGTTTTTTAAACCTTCCAGTGAGAATATTCTTAGGATCATGCTATATTTCTTCTAAAGAACATGCTTAAAAGAAATATAGTATAATCCTAAGAATATTCTCACTGGCCTATAGGCAGGTTTTTAGAAGGTGCAAAGTTTAGTGGTAAAAATTAATCCACTCTAAACATATGCTTAGAATGTTCAACATTCAATGTTGAGTACCTATATAATAGTAAAATATATCATAATCTACGTATAAAGGTACCTATCCTTAGTATTAAATACTAAGTAAAAAACAACCCAAAATATTTTTTTATAGTTATTTGTCAAATTAAAACAATATTCGATAACAAAAATACTTTTACTATAGGTATCTAAATTATCCGGCTTTTACATAAAATCTTCTATCCAACTTGAATACAATGAAAAATGTTTTTTATAATTATTCTTTAAAGAACTATTGGTTTTTTCTTTTATGAAGAATTATTTTATAAGGAAATATTTTGTTTTTTTATATTTTATTTTATGTTAAAAATAAATATTTATTAATTTTTATACCGATTTATTATTTCTGAATTAACATTTTTATGTATAATAATCCTAACCATCTTCAACTTCAATCTAATCTGACTTATCCCACAAAATTTTCCAATTTTACTTTTTATAAAATAATGTCATACAACTTATGGTTTAGAGGTCGAATTGTTTATTTAATGTTTTTAAATAAATATATATTAATATGTCGCAAAATTGTTTAAGGGGACGACAAATACATTTCACTGTCATATTATGAAAGTGAGGCGTATTTGTCGCCTTCTGAAGAATTTTACGAATGTAGAATCCAACATAATAGAACGTGCACGGATATCTGACATATTTGAAAATATTCTCAAAAGCTTCCTAGAAGCTCCATAAGAAACCTCCTAAGAACATTCCAAAAACGTATTCTTAAAATGGTCTTAGAATGCTTTTTAGGAAGGTTTTAAGAAGCTTCTAAGAATCTAATTGCATCATTAACCCTCCGTTACTCGCGCCAGTTTTCGTAACATCGATACTCGCGTGGCGTTTGAGAGACTCTTGCGTTATAAAATAATTATTAGAAGGTTATTGTATTTTATATTAATGAAATCATCAAGACTATTTCTTTCAAACATTTATTTATTACTAAAAATGCAAATAAAAAAGTTTAAAAAACAATTTGAAAATGTTAAATCTACCTACTAAGTAAATTATTGTTTTTTTTTTCTTTGAGCGCAGATTACTCTACTATTCACTTAAGAAAGGTACATGGCCGGGGAAGTCCCTATTTATCTCGTTTCAAAAGTTACTATAGGGCGATTGCACGCGTTACTGATGGGACAATTGGAAAAAAATTTAACTATTTTTTGATATTTGTTGCTATCAGTAATGAGCTAATGACGGTGATATTTGGGTAACTATTAAAGCTAGAGTTTGTGTAAAATTTTCGGGATTAGAGCTATTAAAATGTTTTTTATTTTACGAACTAGAAATCAATAAAATGTTGTTACTGATGGGACAGGAAAAAGGTCAGAAAAATTTCTGGTTACTAGAAGAGAATAATTCTCTGAAACAGAATAATGTTGAAGAAAAGTATAGGTGAACCAAGTTGCAGATACAGTTAGTATAACTTATTATGACATCACTCATCTTTCATTGTAATCTGTGTAGACAATGCATTTTGATTTCTCGTTACTGACGGGACATTACTGATGGGACATTTATTATTATTATAATAAATATATTTATTATACACTGAAACAAATGTGTAATTGGATAATTTAACTAAATAATTTTTCCAACATTTCAATTGCTGATTCGATTGTTTCAAGCAGAATTATGGTTTTTGTTTTGCCATCGATAGTGGACCACTGTTTGATTTGCATGGGCTCTTCTGGGTTGTATACAGGAAAATAATATATCAATTTCTTTGCACTCCGGACATTCATTCATCATAAAATTTTCTCTTTCGACGTCACAGGTTATCTCAGAAATCAGCTTTTTATGATCATCCGGAAATGCTTTAAAGCGTTTGCTAAACGCTTCCAAAATAAATAAAATGTTTGAATGATATTTGCAAACACAAACGTTGTAAGGAGTGTCACTGATTGGCAAAACGAACGCAGGCCTTAACTCATAAAATTTGAATTTTCGTTTCGGGATTTTCTTCTTGGAAAATTGTTTACGCCTCTTTAATTGTGTAGACCATGTGCCGTTTTTGAGCATATTCAATAATAGATCCATTTGTCTATATTTTCACACGATCTTTTAATCCAGGAGAAACTCTACTTAGGTATATCCTCTTTGAGATAAAAACTTTTTCAACTATTTCTGGGGACAATTTGTTCCACGGATTCATTGTTGTTATTATTTCTGTCTTTCCTATATACTGAACTTTTAAGTTTGGATCTAGCGATTCTAATATTTTTGTCAAAACACATTTTTTTTGTTTTTTTCTTTTGGCATCATCATGTCTGCCCTTCTTACAGCTTTGAGTTTTGAAGGGTATATTCTTAACAGTTTGCTGCTTTTTATTTTCTCTAAACTTTCTTTTTCTTTCTCTTTCATTAATTTTTTGCTGCATTTTAAACGTACTATCATTTTCCGCCAAACTTTTTTAATTTTTCTCTGTACTTTTTTGCGCTTGAAGCATTTTTAGACAGGTAAGTCTTTTTTAAAACAGGATTTTCATAAATATTTTTTCGATATTTTTTAACCCGCCGCTTCGTATTTTCTTTGTCAAGCACGTTATTTTTTGCCATCCTAAAAATTTACATTTCGTTACTGACGGGACCAACTTTAAAAGAAAGAAATACAAAAATCTGGGACAGCAAACCAATATATTTTTATCGCGTAAGCAAATGTGACATAGGGACAAACATTTTTATTATTAATTTAAAACTGGGCAAGTTGCATACTTGCGATATTAAAACTTATCATATTATTTCGTTACTGATGGGACAAATATACAATAATATTATAAATTAAAATTTCCATAACAGTTTACTTACTTGCAAAAAAAATATTCAGGAATATTTTCACTAATAGTGGCGTCTAATCAAAACTGACGTTTTCGGAAGCGTCTCTTACTGTTATAGGTCAAAGCCACCTTGATAAAAATGCTACTTTGTATATAAATTTTAACATCGGAAAATCGTTTATTTTTGACCATATTTTTTTAATAATAAGTACCTGAGATAAACATTTTTAGTTTTTTCAACTAATTTCACCATTAATGAATAACTTTGGTATATTTTTGTTTCATTGTGCCCTGCTTAAAATTGATGGAAAAAAATACATTGCGCTTGCAATCGCCCTATAACTAATAGATTCAGTGGCGTCTGATAGACGCCGCGCGAGTAACGGAGGGTTAAAAGGGTATCTATCTATTGAATGTTTTAAAAGTCCCTAAGAACATTCTTAGCAATAAGGGAAGGTTCTAAGAATATTCCATTATTCCGGGTCATATCTTCTTAGAAGATTCTTAGAATCAAATTTTGCTATTAGGGAAGTATATACTAACATATGTTATATAACTCTAACGAAAGAACTTTAAAAACTTACTTCTTATGTTTTGTTTGTGACAATTTAGGGGGGGGATGAAATAGAGAAGGATGCAATTGAGAAGGATGAAATGGAGGAAGTGGAGGGGATGATTAAGCAGGCCTCCAAGGAGTTGGAGGAAGTTGCTGAGGAGAATCAGAAACTGCTGGACGCGCTTGGAAATAAAAGTGAAAAATCATCTTGAAAACCATTTTCTATTTAACCACTATTCTTTTTCGCGTAGAAGATGAAGCGGAAGCGGAAGATGAAGTAGAAGACGTAGACACCGGTTCAATCTTCCAATTTGATCCCAAAGTCGACTCTGCAGTCATGAGGGAATTGGAAGATTGCGAAAGACAAGCCAAAGAAACAGCAGGTGTCATATCAAAGATTAAAAAGCGAGTGTCTGAACTGATGACTAAGGAAAAAATGAGCGAAGTTGGGAAGATATATATTATTTATCTACATAAAGTACTAATCTTGACGTTATGTAGGCTGAAGCTAAGGAGTTGGAGGCAATGAACAAGGAACTGAGGTCTCAAATGATAATTTTTGAAGAAAAAACTAGAAGAATCCAACAATTGATTACGCAAGCCAATTTGTTTGACAATTATAAAGCCCCAAGTCCACCATTACCTGGTGATGAAGATAAATTGCCCAAAGTAAACAAAAACATTTTGACATATTAAATATGTACCTACATATGTAAATTTTAGGTAATAGTATGTGGTCAAACAGAAGATAACATGCCCAAAATAATTTTGTGTGCAGACAAAAAAAAGGAAAGCACAGGTTTTTCACTTGGTCTAACTCAAAAAATGGTCATGCCTTGTACTGCTCGAGGTGATTAATAATGTCCAACACAGCAAACGGAAAAATATAGAACTGTATAGGATGACTCCGCGTTTGAATACTAAATCTTAAAGTTTTATGAGAACTGTATTGAATCGTGCTTTGTTTTTATATTTTTCGGCTCTATACCTATGCCCGACTATATTTAAAGTCAAACTCAATGGTGTCTTACAAGATACATTATTTTGATTTTCAGAGAGAGGTAGAAACTCGACCCTGTCGAATGGTGCAGTCATTTATGTCTCTAGAAATTATTGAAAAAGGGTTCAGTCCAATGGTGCAGCAACTTCGGATTCCTATTCTCTTCAGAGACATAGAAACTCAAGCTTTTCGAATTTTACTGGCAATGATTTTCGTTAGTGTCTCTTTACTCTACCAAGTTATAGAAACTGTTCTAGTCAATATTTCTGAGAGTATAAAAAGAGGGTGTAATATTGCAAGAAGTTCTTTCTTCTTTTGATGGAAGCAAGTAGTTTGAATTTTCCCATTTCTGCATATGATTTTGTTGAAAATAGTTCCTTTCTTTGGTTCCTTTGTCTGATTTTTATTTACTCGGGTATGTAAAGCACAGAGGATATGATGTAAAGTATTTTTATGTATTTTATAAAGTACCTACCTATATTTGTATTAAAAATTTCAGAGGTTATGTTGAAAAAATGATCGATATGCTATTAAACTTTAATAATTTAGTAATGAGGTCTGTTGGTAGACCCTGCACTATCTCCACTGGTATATGTTAGTACAGCAATATTAAAATCTGGTTGATGAAAAAGTACACACCAGTGCAGGTTATTGTAGCATCTACGAACAAATGAATTAATGGCCCATTGGCAATTATTCCTTTAGTAAAAATATTCAACACAGCTTAATTAATTAATAAAATGAAAAAAATCACAATCATGTCGTATATAGTTTTTTTTTTAAGCATAAAATAGTTTTCAAATTAATACTAGTTCAAAAGTGAAATTACGACCTCTATACTGACTTCGACTGACGAATACAACTCTATACCCTGGCGAGATTTAGAAAACTGTATTCAAACGTGGCGTCATCCAATACACTTCTATATTTTTCCGTTTGCTGTGAAAGAATATAGACAATCTAGACAATTTTTTAGGTAGTAGACCCCCAACTGCATCCGCTCAAAACGGCATGATACCCTCAATGGGTGGAATGCCGCCACCACAAATGGGGTATGGAATGCCGCAACAGAATATGATGATGGGTGGCATGGGGATGATGCCTCAGCAGCCAATGGGCATTCAGCAGCAATATGGCATGCCTCAGCCCCAAATGAGGATGCCTCAGCCCCAGATGGGGATGCCCCAGCAACAGATGGGGATGCCCCAGCAACAGATGGGGATGCAACAGCCCCAGATGGGGATGCAACAGCCCCAGATGGGTATGCAACAGCCCCGACAGCCGATGGGGATGCCTCAGCAGCCGATGGGTATGCCTCAACAAGGCTATAACAGAATGTCTCGATCAATGGTAAAAAAGCAACCCTGCTGAAAATACTGTTCGACAAATGATCCTTTTTGATCATTTTTCGATGAGGTTTTTATCACTTGTTTTCGTGATCAAAAATGATTGAGATTTCAGACTCGATCCTATTTTATCATGAAAACAGCATGGACTCTTGATCCTTTTGGATCGCGAGACAGAAATAATAAAAAATTATCATTTTCAACATCTGTCATATTTTACGTCTGTCATTTTTAACATCTGTCATTATAAATATATGTCATTTTTGACATCTGTAATTAAGTGACAGATGTCTAAAATGGGCTATGACAGATGTAAAAATGAGTTATGGCTGCGAATTTAAAAAAAATTGGAAACTTTTAATTTTTACACTATGAGTATGAGGACGTATGGCTGGCCCCATCGGCATCGCCTTACACTGATCTCCCAGAGTTATTTTTACCAACTTTCAGCCAGAGCTGGGAAACTTTTCTAAGATACTTTAAACAAAATAACTTAGTTACCTCTGGTAACTAGATATATTGAGTTAAAAGTAGGTATCTTTAGTTTCAAGATACTTTAAAAAGTATCTAAGATATTATCCGCAAGTATCTAAGATACTATATGAAAATATCTAAGATACTTTTGAGTAACTAAGATACTTTTAAATAACTAAGATACTTTTGAGTAACTAAGTTACTTTTTATTATAATAACTATAATAAAAACTATAAAATTATCAAAATTAAACAAGTTGTAGTTTAGGTAATTATGTACTTTGAATCATTCTGGAATTCCCACAATTTTCTCTAAGAAAGTATCTAAGTTTCACTGAAAAGTATCTAAGATACTTTTCCAAAGTAACTTAGTTAAATATACTTTCTGTCCAATATATAAAGTATCTAAGATAAAGTATCTTAGATACTTTAAGTATCTATGTAAGTTACTTTCAAGTATCTTTTTTTCAAGATACTCCTAGCTCTGAAAGTTTCAGCTGTGTTTGGTGGATTCGAATTTTTACCCCGGCTCTCTCTTGGGTCACCGGGCCGGGCCATACGCCCGATTTAGGATAGTGGAGTGCGGGTCAAGAAGGGAAAACATTTTGGTTTTTGGGGGACATTGGACTGACCCAAAACTAAGTACAATCCGGAATCCCCCTAAACCAGGGATTTAGTACTACCCCCATTCAATGAATGGGGGTTGGGTGGTTAGTTCGCTGCTTGGACCTATTCTTGATGGTCTTGAAGTACTATAGGTTCGTTTGCGTTCTTCAATCTAGGGTTGAGAACCATCGATAGATAGTTTTCGGTAGTCAGCCATGTGACTACTAGTAGCTATTAGTTCAAATAGTTTCAATATATATTTTTTGTTTATACCGAATTATGCGAAAATTATCTGTAAAGGAGAGTAAGTAGATACAAATTATTTGTCCCACTGTGCATAAGCCTTAGCTTTATTTCAGTAAAGACTTAGTGCTTGTTCACAATGGACGTAACCTTAAAAAAAAACATAAATACATGTATGCATAAAAAAAATACATAACGATACATAAGAAGCGTTCACAATGTGCATAGTAAGTAATCTTTACGTTTATGTGATTCTTATGTAAAAATTATGGAGTACCGTATAAATCACATAAAGTTCAAATAATTTAACTATGAAATATTTATGTAATTTTTTGGGAAAATTCGGTGACTATATAGTAACCATTTGCTATGGAAAAGGTTGAGTCACCGGTAGACAAATACCTAAGATAAAGCCAAATTATTAGTAGATAAACAACTTCAATGTAATAGCCAACCGTTGACTTGGACTCAGTGGTTTTCGTATGCTATGTTTAATCAATTTAGGAGACACTATAGTTTTAGCAATTCGAAACTCTTTTTTCTCTATCTCTATTTATAGGACGAACCCACCAGCGTCTTGTTCGTTTTGGTTTCACCCTATCTTGGCGTTCTTGGCATCGTCGTCTTAGTAGTAACAATAATAACAATTCTTCAGTCTCACTCATTTTAAAAACACAATTCACAAATTTTATGAGTTTATGTTCGAAAAAATGACATTAGTTTGACATGATCAACATGTCAATTTTTATGGTCATTGTGAACGCTCTTTGCAACATGTATCTTTTATGGTTATGTCCATTGTGAATCCACACTTATAGTGGCATGTTGGCATGTTTATTGTTGTTGTTTAGGTGACTGCACATGACTTTTTGTTTATGTTAACGTTTATTGCGTATCACGGCGGTTTGTTTAGTTTTTGTACTTGTGTATGTTTTGTACCGATTTATATTACTTTTGCTGTCTTGTAGGAATTCTCTTTTTCCTGTTTGGCTGGTTTGATTTTCTGGTTTAGATGCGTTGAAGACGCTTAAGCTCTTCGAGAAAATGCAAGATTACTTTCTTAGTAGGGAAGCTATTGAGCTAATCTTTTGTTGCTACTGCCACTTGACCCTCTCTTTGGTTCCTTCAGGAGACTGGTACATTGAATTCACCTGGACAGGTAGTGTAATTGATTTCTTACATTCTTTACTGTCCGTTCAGGCTAAGTTGAGCGGTCTAAGGAATGTCACCCAGTTCATCATCTCTATGTTCAGGCACAATTAAATACATGTATTTCGGTAGCCGCTCTGTACGAACAAACGACAAGCCGCGGCACTGATAAATCATCTTCTTATTACCAAAATCTCGCGACGATTCGATATTTAATTTAATCAACGGCCACATGATCCCCACCAAAGCGCTCAACTTAGCCTGAACGGACTGTACTTGTATTGCACTGCACTACTGTATTAGCGCTTTTCTGATTCTGTGAGACATCGGGGCTCTAAATTCACTGTATATACTTAAAACTGCCTAACAAACTTAACTATACTGTGACCGATTTATTGTAACTGATAGGCTTTTCTTCCTTCCTCACCCTTTAGAAGCGATCGCTTGCGCGTCTGCATCTTATGATGTCTCAATTATTATATATTCTAATACGACGTATGCATGTGCGTTTCATATTTTGTATCGTCAAGTTTTGGTTTACCCTCGGCAAAACAGTTTTACTTTAAAAATTAAAATATAAAAGTTGCTATAACTCTCTAAAAAGTCCTCTACCTGCCAATAAAAGTCCTGTAAAAAACGATTTAGCCGAGATTATACTTTATATACCCAGACTTCAATGAAGGTTCGAAAATATTACAGGAATATGCCCTATCATCCTAGGAATAATCCGCTTCATTCTAGGAATATTCCTGAAATGATCCTCTAAAACTTCCAAGCACTATCTAAGACCATTCCCAGTAAATCATAAGTTTAGTTGCAATACCTCTCACCGTTGCTTACGTATACGTATACCTATAGGTACGCTTTAAACTATATAAACCGATAGGTTAAAAATATCAGTTGGAGATGTGCGTCTGTGATGGCACAGCTAAACAATGATTAGTTTGGGACTGATCTACTCAGTAACTAATAATGGTTACCCTGCTTAAAATACCCCATAGAGACCTATATAAAATAATATATGTGCATTTGTCCATGGTTTTTTCCGGATACGGCCCGATAGAAAATTTATAGGAAATTACCTATAGGCACACCATAACTTTTACATTTTCCCTATTGAGACCGATAGCAAATAACTCAATGAAGGATATTAAGGGATATCCCTATAGAACAACCATAAAACATTTGAACAAATTTTATGGGGTCCTATGGGGGAAAAACTATTTTCTACACTTATGTGTATTTTCCCCATTGAAACCAATAGCAAATAAATCAAGGGTGGATGTTCCTATAAAACAACCATGAATCCCAACTATGGGTCCTATACATACCGATACACCCTATAGAAACATCATACATTCCGATACAAATATCTATCGGTTTGAACAGGGTCTCTATGGGGTCTTTTAAGCAGGGTAGTTAAGTTAGGTTGCTGGGTTTAAGTGGCCATAAGGGCTAGGAGTAATCCCCAAATTATATTAAGGACATTCTCCCAACAATACTCAAGTCTTATGCATGCCGCTACATGGAATATTCTTTTTATGATGACTGGGTTAACCAAAAAGCGGACATTTGATTACGCCAGTATTATTCCTGGGAATATTCTCCTAACAATATTTAAGTCTTATGAATGCCGCTACATGGAATATTCTTTTTATGATGACTGGGTTAATCAAAAAGCGGAATAATCCTGGGAATATTCCTGACAAATGCAGGAAATGGGATTTTGCTGTATACATATGTAGCAAAATATATTTATGATTATTAAAACTTACAAAATGAGATTGAAACTCGATCATGTTTTTATGATCAAATATGATCCATTTTAAAACCTGATCGATTCTGATTAAATATTTCATTAAAACCTGATAATTGAACATTATCGAAAGATGATTGAAACTCGATCATTTTTTATTATTACATATGACCCAGTTGAATATGATCTGGGATCTAAATATGATAAAAAAGATCGACTTTCGATCAGTTCCTTTTAGCAGGGATCATCAACTTTTATTGCCTTCTATTTTAGAATGTCGTGCCTCAACTGGCGCAAACGTTGAACCAAAGTTTCTGCATGCAGGAAAAATTGGCAGCTGAGAATCAAAATTTGGAAGGAGCGAGGTTAGATTGTCAAATTTTTTGACGTTCGACATTTAATTTTTTGGAAGTGGCATGAAATAAATTTTTTGTGTAGGTATCGGCTTCAATCGGACTTGGCCACCAAAGATACCACTGTGGAATGCCTGCAGAAACAACTGGACAGTTTGAAACAGGAGATGCGCATGGTGTGCAAGGAGAATCAATTTTTGAACGAAAAACTTGCAGTAAGCAATGTACTACACTTGGTGTTAACACTTTATTAATCTTAACTTAGGGGCCGCAAGGAGACAGAAGCTGTGCAAGTAGCACGAAATCCTCCAAGAAAATGGGAGGCTGCGAGAAAGGAAATCGCGGTTCTATTGAAACACGCATGCGAAACTACTCGGAGACGACGGAAAACTTGGAAAAGCAACTCGCGTGCATGGAGAAAAACGTGAGGATGATCCAGAACGATTTGTGCTCCGTACAAAAGGAACGTCAACATTTGGAACACCACAAAAAACAGATGGCTTGCCCTCCGGAACCTCAACATGTTTGCAATCAACAGCAAAAAAGTGTAAGCAGAGTAGGGTGTCCGTTATTTACCAACTAAATTTTTAGTTTTTGACCTAAAAAAAATTATTAAGAAAATTATAAAAAAAAATATTCATATTAAACCGTGCCACAAAGACGATACATTTTCCATTTAAATAACATGGGGTTTCGGCAAGTTTTACATTTAATTTTTTTTCTTCCGAGCAAGTAAATACCTATACAGCAATAAGATACACATATTTTATAAGAAATTAAACGCTGTACAAAAAAGCTTTTCTATGATTTTTTCATAAATTCACTGATTTAAAAGTTATTTAATTAAGGTTTAAGTTAAACTTATAGTAATTTTTTCGATTTTTTTACTTTGACTGCAAAATTATAATTATTTTTATGAAAATGAATTGTTTATTTTTGAAAATATGTGATTTAATTGAATTATTGAAAAAATAAAAATGATTGAAAAGTGAAGTGAAAATTATTGAAATTCAATTTTTTTTTATTACATTAAACAAATCTGGTACTAGTTTGTCTAAATTTTAGTACGATTACTTGTTTACATAATCTTTTTATTTCTGTGAAATTCTACAAAATTTTATAGGATTTTATAAAATATTATATTTACAATAAAAAGTTTTCCTTCAGTACAGCTAATGACGTAGAAATTCTTTTAACAATTATTTTTACGCCAAAATAAAATTCGTAGTCTTGAGGATGAGATGCAGACATTTTCGCTACACCAATAATTAATCCTTTTTAAATAAGTTAAATGTATTAATCTACTTCTACATTGACAAGCTGTAACTTTATGGCGCTTCAGTCACGGGTGGAAGTTGGCAATAAGTAGTGACTTTTGGGCATTTTAGTCAGTAAATTAATAAATATAATTGACTTTAAATTATTTTTTGTGTTCTTTGTAGATAAAGTATATTTAGGATGCAACTAGTTTTTTATAAGCTTCGCTCCTACTTCAAACTTTAACTTTGCGACACGAAATCTGTGAAGTGCGACTTCTGCCTTCTGTGGTCAAAGTACTAAATCATACTTTAGCGCGCATGCGTAACTACAAATTTTATTTTTTCGTAAAAATAATTGTTAAAAGAATTTCAACGTCATTATAATGCTATAGCTACAACCGAAGGAAAATTTTTCATTGCATATTATTTTCTAAATTGGTATAACATTTTGTGAAATTTCACAGAAATAAAAAGGTTATGTAAAAAAAGTAATCGTACTAAATTTGAGTAAAACTAGTACCAGATTATTTTAATGTAATAATTTTTTTTTTAATTTTTCGGAATCTTTTGTCAATAATTTTCACTTATACCTTTTCAATAATTTTTACTTTTTTAATAATACAATAAAATCACATATTTTCAAATATTAACAATTTATTTTCATAAAAATAAAGATAATTTTGCAGTTTTTTCATGTTTTCACTAAATTTATTTTGTTAATATTTTTGAATAATAAAGGTACTTTTCACATTTTATTCGATGGTTTTTAAGCAAAATCGGCTTTGGTTTTGAAAACGAAAGTATTTCTTATAAATCAAGTAGTTCCATAAGGCCCACAAAACTCAAGTTTGCATTTTTTATCTGTAAAGGCCAAGAAACCGAGAGTGTTTGCCATTTTCCCAACATTTTATTAAAGCGGTTTTGCACGGATGCTCCTCAATTATTCTGTTATAATCTAATGTGTTTACAAATACAGTTTGATTATTTTGCTGTTTTTGTTTGGGTTTTCTTAGTTTATTGAGTGTTAGTTTATGTTCTAAGTGTCAAATGCTTATTTGGTCTCGTTTTTGTTAATCTTCGACTGTTTTGTTGACAGATTTATTGTCCCACTCAGCTTTGGTGTATGGCCGCGATAGATTCGGTTGGGAAGTTTTGTTTTTGGTGGTATTATCTTTCTAATGTTTTTATTGTTACCGATGTTTATTGGTTTTTTGTAGAGATTAGACAGTGTGCCTTGTCTTGTTTAATTTTGCATATTATGTGTTAGGTCATGCAGATGAGTTGAGGATACTTATCAAATTTTTGCAGATGGCCTATTCCTTCCTTGTTTGGCAAGTAAAAAACGTCCGGTTGACAGGTGGTGCGACCGCTCAGAAGCTAAACTCTTTCTTGTCACTTAACACTTAACTCTTTATTGACCGTTTCACTATATTAGTTTGCACTTGTCGCTTAACTCTTCCTTATCACTTAGCACTTAACTCATTCTTGACCGTAGAGTAGTCTGTACTTACTGTAGTTGTAATTTGTTTGCACTTTATGAGAGATTATTTGATGTTTATGGCTGTTACCCTATAGTTTTTTTGCACTTTATGAGAAGTTATTTGTTGGATATGGTTTTTACGTTTTACGTTTTAAGAGCTCGCGCTGCTACGATGGGTCTTGCTCTGTCAAGTACTGGGACGTGACTGTTTTTATAAACCAAGTTGGTAAATAACGGACACCCTAAAGTATAGTTTTATAAAAGTCACTTTTTATATTTTATGTCTTAGGGGTCCCAAAACCAACAACTATGCGAGCTAAAAGAGCAATACAAATGTTTACAAGACGACTTCAAAGGCAAACTATGCGAAGTGGCCGGTTTAAGAACGGACAACGAGAGGTTCAAAACGTGCATAGCAAAAATGGAAGAGGAGAAACAGCTTGCGGAAGACAAAGTCAAAGTGTTGGAGGAAGAGTTGAGAAAACTAAGCGGAAAAGGAACTGGAACGCCGAAGGAAAACATCATGGAACTCGAACAAGAGTTGAAAGTTGCTAGACAACGATTCAGGGAGGCTCAAGACGAGTTGGACGAACTGAGAGCTTTGATTGAAGACCAACAAACCCAACTGGATGATTATAGAAACAAAGTAAGTCGAATATCGTTTGAAATATTGTTTTTACAAGTTTTTTTTTAGTACATTGTAGCTCAACAAGAAGTTGAAGAGCAACGCCGTCAAATAGACATGATGGAAATGGAAAACAACCGTATTAGCGAGCAAGTCAATTTGGAAATTCAACGTGTGAAGAACCAGTTCCAGGAAAAACTGCAGGAACTAACTCCACTACCCGAAGTTCTAAAATGCACCCAAGTTAAGTTGCAGGAAGCTCAGCAGATGCACATGCTAGCGGAGAGGAATAACGAAGCTATGGCCAGAGAGCTACAACTGTATAAGGTAAGAACCCAGAGAGCCATATCAGAATTCGGAGTTCGAAATTTGGCCAATAATTGCCCTTTCACTTTTGGAAAAGTTTTGCCAAAAAATTTACAATATAGTACTTAATATTCCTATTTTTGTGCAATCGCGATGGCCAACAATAAATGACCAAATTGTGCCCAATAATATGCAAAAGCAGTTTGGATTAACTTTTAAGTTTTAAGAATGTTTGGGCATGAAAAAACGATGACAAATTTTTTATTTTTATTTTGGAAAATATTAGGATTTTGAAAAATTAACCAATGAAATGATAATTTTTTGGAGAGTTTTTGAAAATTGAATTGAAAATTAGGGTAAACCACATAGTTATTGGACACTTAAGGAATATTATTTATTTAAAATTTATATATGCCGTTGTTTTAAAGATTTTAGTTTTTTTCTTATAAATATATAAAAAGGTTAGTTTGTTTGTTTAAACTTTATTTACGTTTACTTAAAAATAAGGATATTTGAATTTTTAATACTTAATAGTTAAAAACATTCAAAAAAGTATAGCAATTGGACATTTTATATTGTAATTGGACACATCGACCATAGTTATTGGACATACAATTTTTATATAAACATAACAACTTTACATCAAATAACAAATTGTTAAATATTTTTAGATAAAGATAAATTGCTGTTTTAGGTAATTATTTTATTTCGTTTTTGTAAATATCATATATGATATATATAATTCATATATTTCTTTCTCGGATTCTTCATCCCTTTTCTGGATTCTGAAGGTAACTACTAAATCCTTGGTCTGACTTCTGAAATAGTTTGTTGCAAATATCATTAAGTGTGGTTTCTCTAGTTTGTGAAGCATTTATAATGTTTAGGCCGGAACAGGATGATTTATGTATATATCTAATATTTTTTCGGGTGGTATGTTAAAAATATTTTCCGAATTTATTAATTTTGTTGCCATTAGTTTTTTATGTTTTCTATCATGTACTGTATTTAAATTACTGTTATTCTGCAGAATGTCCTGTGACTAAGAAATCACTACTTATATTACTTACTCTCTAAAAATTAATAAGTCAAAAATGTCATAGCGAAAAAGCAGCCACTAATAATTCTCGTCAACAGCAATTTGTATCCAGGACATTTAGCAGTCAATTCCTATGAAATATTATTCGCTGAATCCGAATACGTCGTCAAAAGTTATAAAAGTAGAACAGTTTTTGAAATATAATCAATTTTACATATAATATGGAATTGACTGCTTAACTTTTATAGTTTTTGACGGTATGTTTGGATTCAGGGGAAAATTTTACATAAGAATTGGCTGGTAAATGTCCGGGATATAAATAGAGTATGATATTGGACATATTATGTCCAATAATAGAAATTTGAATTTTTTCCAACCAGTAATTGGACACTGGTCATTAAAGTGACAATGTTTAAACCATGAGGAATATTTATACCACAGACTGATCTGTACAATTTTTAGAAATATTTTTTATCGTAATTTAAACAGCCCTGCTTTTAACAAAAAACAAAAACCTTACCACCAAAGTAACGTGCGTACTTTTTTGTCTTATATTGGACCCAAAATAAAGTAGTTTTGTATTATTACCGACTGAGTTAGTTATAATTGTATACAACGTCATCTAATGATTTGACTTTAAGGTAACTATTTATAGAACTCTTGTTTTTGCAGTATTAATGTTAATTGTCCAATAACTATAAAGTGTCCGATAACTGTCTACTTTGCCCTACAATAAAAAAATATTTAAAAAAACAAAAAATAAATATAATTAAAACATATTTTAAATAATAAAATCCTACGAAAAGTTTTTTAATTGGTTTTGTATTTGTATTTGATTTTTGGCACGTGGCTTGGCATTGTTCAAGGCCACGTGAAAGGACCTCTGAAACTCTATAACCCCAGTAATAATTTAATTATTTATTAAAAAACTTGAAAACATAACCTTAATTATAATTATAGGTATAAGTATACTTATCTACACAAAATTTTAAGCCGTTTAAAACTTAACACACGTTTATTTAGTGCACGGATGATTATATATTTTTGTAATAACTTTTACACATGCACTTTTTTACGCCTTTTTGTACAAGGGTCTTGAAATATTTACTGCAACGTACCTATAACTCGCTATTCTGCCGTAACCAACAATTTTGCGATTTTTGGTTTACGGCATTTTCTACTAGAACAATTCATCCTGCGTCTATCCCCGGTACTCAAAAAACCGTATCTATATATATTATATATAGATACGGTTTTTTGAGTACCGGGGATAGACGCAGGATGAATTGTTCTAGTAGAAAATGCCGTAAACCAAAAATCCCAAAATTGTTGGTTACGGCGTTTTCATTAAGCACGGCAGTATTGCGCATAGTATAGGTACTGATTTTTCCATGCTGATCAATTATTTGCCAAGTTTCGATCAACTTGCATTACAAACTTAAAGTTGGACAAAAATAACTACTCAAGTCTTTATTTGCATGCAGTTTTTGTGCTATCGCGTTGTCAAATGATTTGCATAAAATATGCCAATTTTGGTCAATAAAAATACAATTTATATGTCCAAATAAACCCCAATAAATGTAAAATATCGTACACCAAACTTGGTTGGGAAAAAGTTGACTAATTTCTTTCCCAAACCATGTTTCTCTGGGAAGGTGTACTATTTAAAGGGCAATCTATATTTTTTCTCTAGGATAAAATAGCTGAAATAACCAAAGAACTAAACGAACTGAAAGGCTCCGATGATTCGGAAGAGATGGCCGAAAATACGGCGCGTCTGAGGAAGGAGCTGGAAGATTTGAAGACGGAATTGGCGTGTTGCAGAGTAAGTTTGACGGAAATGAAGGAGCTCGCCGAAGAGAAGGACAAGCTGGCGCAGTCGAAGCTGCACGAGATCGCGCAGCTTCAAGCGCAACTGGAGAGCGTTAGAGAGGAATCCGCCAGACAAGTGGCCAGAACCAAGGACAGATGCGAGACCGTGCGAAGGTCCATGCAGAACCAAATCTCGGATTTGGAGAGGCAGTTGGCTCAAAGTAGAGCAACTGCAAGGACAGCGCAGAAAGATAGGGACGAGATTCGTCAGAAGATGCAAGCTCAGATAAATAACCTCAACGAGAACTTTGAGGATGCTCAAATGAGGATAAGGAACTTGCAAGGACATGTCAACTTTCTGAAAACTTCCTACAATACCGTGTTTACAATGGACGAAAAAAAGCAAGAGGTGGATCCGTGCAACTGTGGAATGGACGATTTTTAGCATTTTTTGTACAATAAAATTCTTAATACTATATTTTATATCTTTTATTTAACGACGACAAGTTTTGTACAGTGCTTGAGCGGGCGGTGAAGCTTTCCCTTCCGCAGTAACAGCATAAAGAGCGATTTCAACATCGTTTTTGAGATCCACATTATGCAACATAACCGTGGTACGTTCCCTGCACTTTAAACGCTCCTTCAACTCATCATTGGCGTACACTTCGTACCCGATAACTTTCTCTGTGCGCGGCACTGACCACGTAACTATTAGACTATCCTGGCCACACCGTCTTGCATCCAAAATTTCAAACCCTGACAAGTCGAGCTTGTTTTTATTAATTTTTTTGCATTCTTCTGTGGCACTGGAAGTCGATTCATTGGTGGTATCGGTGCCGTCTCCCATGAGTTTATAGAGAAAACTATCGCCATCGCGCGTTTTTAACTCTCCCGTCATTATCTCTATCATTTGGTCTTTTTTATTGCACTCTTCCTTAAGGTTGCCCAGATTCACTTTGAGTTTGGACATCGTGGCCTCTGCAGGCGAGTTTTTCTGGCACATGGATATCAAATCGTCGATGATTTTTTCCAAACGTAGTATTTCGTCCCTGCAGTTACACTTTTCTTCGATACTTTTTTCGATCTCTTTCTTTAAAGTGGCATCGTCCATTTTGGTGAAATTCATTGAATCGCTTTTTTCCGGCTTACGTTTTTTAGACTTTTTCTTTTTCACTTTATCCTTTTGTTCGCAGTCATCGCAATCACACACTTCTATGACGCAGGAGTTTCTTTTATGTAGCTGCACCAACGACGAGGTTTTTTTATTTCTATCATCTTCATTCTTCGCTGTACATGTATCACAAGAGCAATTGGTGGGACCAAATATAGGTGGTATAGTTTTAGCCTCTTCACATTTATCTGTGCTTTTGCTATCTTCTTTTCTCTGGGCAGTGCATTTATCGCAGCCACATGTATCACAATTGCATGGTTGAGCAACGGGAACTTCAAAAGCAGCAGTTTGATTCCTAGCATCTACACATTCATCTTTCATGTCTTTTCTTTTACCATTCTCTTTTTTGCTTTCTGTTCTTTTGGCGGTGCATATTTCGCAGCCACATTTATCACAATCGCATGGTTGAGCTACGGGGACTTCAAACAGATTTATATTCTCTTCTATTCTTTGCAATTGTTGACTCTTATCTTTACAGGGATCATGTTTTATTTCCTTTGCATCGCCACAAGGATCTTTTTTGTTTTCTTTCACTGTAGTCGAGGATTTGGTTTGAACCTCCTTGCAGGGATCACCTTGACTACCAACTGTCTTACAATCACAAGGTATAGCGATTGGAATCTCAAAAGCCGACACTACTGCATCCTTACATTCTATGGTGTTCATGCTTTTATTTAGCGAGACGTTTTGAGAGACTTTAGATTTTGCCGTGCATATAAAACATTCGCATTTGTCAATGTCCGACTGTGCTGCATTGTTTGAGAAAAGAACTTTCAATTCTTTGTTATCTTCAGTTTTAAATTCGCACTCTTTACAAAGACATGTAAGGCATTTACAACCCTCGGGGTGTACATCTTTAGGTTTGTTTTTACTACCGGGACATATGCATATTTTGCAGGCGCATATTGAGCAAAAATCGTTTTTCTTGTCTTCTAAATTGGCTTTTGATTCGCGTTTCTTACCCTTACAAGAACAATCTTTTTTGTCTGTATCAACAGTAGAGTGGATTAAAAGACAGTCTGGGCAGATACATGGTCCACATTTACACTTTTCATCTTCGATATCTTTAGCTTTGTTGTTACTTCCAGGACATATACATAGTTTGCAAGCACAAACTTTGCAAAAATCATTTGATGGGTCAGATAATTTCGTAGAATCCTTGCAAGGATCTTTAGAGTCTCCTCCTTTTTGATCTTGAGTTTTAAACATGCAGTCATCGCATTTGCAATCTCTGCATTCGCATTTAGGAACAAATTTAACATTTGAAGTTTTAGATTCACTTTTCTTTACATTCTCTTTGCATGGATCATCCTCCTTTTTCTTATCTTTAGAGTTTCCTTGGGATTCACGTTTTACATCAGCTTTTGATGCCCTATCTTTACAAGGATCGTCCTTATTAGTGTCTTTAGATAGTAAAAGACAGTTGGAGCAGTTACATGGTTCACATGTACACTTTTTATCTTCGATTTTAGGTTTGTTATTACTTTTAGTACATTTGCAAATAGCTTTGATACACTCTTTAGAGCATTCATCTTCTTTTGATGGGTCCGATATTTTCGTAGAATCCTCGCTAGGATCTTTAGAATCTCCTCCTTTTTGATCTTGAGTTTTAAACATGCAGCCATCGCATTTGCAAGCTCGGCATTCACATTTAGGAACAAATTTAACTGTGGAAGTTTTAGATTCACTTTTCTTTATATCCCCTTTGCATGGATCATCCTCCTGTGTCTTATCTTTGCTTGGATCATCTTTGGATTCACCAGATTTTGATGCCCTATCTTTACATGGATCGTTCTTATTAGTGTCTTTAGATAGTAAGAGACAGTTTGAGCAGTTACATGGTTCACATGTACACTTTTTATCTTCAACTTTAGATTTGCCATTGCTTTCAGCACATTTGCAAACAGATTTGTTGCAATCTTTGGAGCATTCATCTTCTTTTGATGGGTCTGATTTTTTCGTAGAATCCTCGCAAGGATCTTTAAGATCTTCACCTTTTTGGTCTTGAGTTTTAAATTTGCAGTCATCACATTTGCAAGCTTGGCAATCGCATCCTTTGCTTGGATCATCCTTAGAGTTGCTTTGGGATTTCCCTTTGACGTCAGTTTTTGATGCCCTATCTTTACATGGATCGTCCTTATTATCCTTATTATCTTTAGATATCAAAAGACAGTGTGAACAGTTACATGGTTTACATTTACACTTTTCTTCATCGACATCTTTAGATTTGTTTTTACTTCCAGGACATATACATATTTTGCAAGCACAAACATCACAGAAGTCATCCTCTTTTTTCTTGTCCTTGCACGGATCATCTTTAGAGTTGGATTTGGGTTCACCTTTTTTGCCCTTGCAAACATCACACTGGCAAACTATACAAGAACAATCCGTATTACTTTTAGCTTTAACATCGGATTTTGATGCGTTATCTTTACATGGATCGTCCTTATTGCTGTCTTTAGATTTTAAAAGACAATCTGGACAGTTACATGGTTCACATTTACACTTTTCTTCATCAACATCTTTAGCTTTGTTGTTACTTCCAGGACATATACATATTTTGCAAGCACAAACTTCACAGAAGTCATCATCTTTTTTCTTGTCCTTGCACGGATCATCTTTAGAGTTGGATTTTGGTTCACCCTTTTTGCTCTTGCAAACATCACACTGGCAAACTATACAAGAACAATCCGTATTACTTTTAGCTTTAACATCGGATTTTGATGCGTTATCTTTACATGGATCGTCCTTATTACTATCTTCAGATTTTAAAAGACAATCTGGGCAGATACATGGTTCACATTTACACTTTTCATCATCGACATCTTTAGCTTTGTTGTTACTTCCAGGACATACACATATTTTGCAACCACAAACTTGGCAAAAGTCTTCATCTTTTTGGCCAGCACATTTACAAACAGATTTGTTGCAGTCTTTAGAGCATTCATCCGGTTTCTTTGTTTCGGTTTCACCTTTTTGGTCTTGAGTTTTAAATATGCAGCCATCGCATTTGCAAGCTCGGCATTCGCATTTAGGAACAAATTTGACATTTAAAGTTTTGGATTGATCTTTTTTTACATCCCCTTTACATGGATCATCTTCTTTTTTCTTATCTTTGCATGGATCATCTTTAGAGTTGTCTTTGGATTTATCTTCTTTTACAACATTTTTTGATGCCCCATCTTTACATGGATCATCCTTATTAGTGTCTTTAGCTTTTAATCGACAGTCTGGGCATTTACATGGCCCACATTTACACTTATCATCATTGACATCTTTACCTTAAAAAATATCTTGTATATACTCTATATTTATATGATTAATGTAATTAGGTACTTGTAGCAATTTTCACGTCTCCACCAGCTTTACCATCCTTACATTTGTCCTCGTCTTTTTTGTCCATATTTTCACAATCCACGCAAATACATTCTGGACATTTGCAGACTTTTGAATGTCCAATCTTTTTGGAGTCTTTGCCCTTGCATTCACAAAAGACGCAATTACAAACATCGCAGATTAACTTTTCTTTTTGATCTCCACCATCAGCTAAGAAATTTTAAATGAATGTATGCAGCCTTTCATCATGTTCTTGTGAATTTACTTACCTTTTTTTCCCGGACATTCAATGCAAATACACGCATTGCATTTGCAGCCTTTTTTTTTCGGGTTATCTTTAAATAAATGTTGTGTAAAAATAAGGTTAAATGGAACCTTTTTTCGTGTCCATTGTGAATTTACTTACCTTTTGTTCCAGGACCTTCTTTTTTCTCGTCTTTTTTCTTATTTGGGCACTCTGGACATTTGCAATCTTTGCACAAACAACCTTCTGCTTTTGGTTCGTCTTTTTTTACACTTTCGCCTTTCTTAAGTTTTTCATCTTTTAGAGTACATTTGACGCAAAAACAGCAATCGCAGGTGCATTTTATTTCCTGGTTTTCTTCTTTTTTATCCACGCATGGATCTTTTTCTGTCTTTTTTTCATCTTGCTTTGTACAATCATCTTTTTTATCGTCTTTTTTCGTATGCAAGCACTCCGGACACTTGCATTCTTTACAAACACATGAAGAGCTTTTATCACCTTCTGTTTTAGTTTCTTCTACTTTTGCACAAGGGTCTTCTTTATCAACTTTTTTGAATGTACAGTCTGGGCAAGTGCAATTACCACACGTACAAGCATCTTTAGGTTTTTCAGCACTTAAAGCTTCTTTTTTATCTAGACAAGGATCTTTATCATCCTTTTTTTTCAACAGGCATTCTGGACACTTGCATTCTTTACAAATACAAGAAGTGGTTTTATCACTATCTGCTTTATTTTCTTCTTTTTTCTCACAGGGGTCTTTTTTATCGTCTTTTTTCGAATGCAAGCACTCCGGACACTTGCATTCTTTACAAACACATGAAGAGCTTTTATCACCTTCTGTTTTAGTTTCTGCTACTTTTGCACAAGGGTCTTCTTTATCAACTTTCTTGAATGTGCAGTCTGGACAAGTGCAATTACCACACGTACAAGCATCTTTAGGTTTGTCACCATTTAAAACTTCTCTTTTATCTGTACAAGGGTCTTTATCGTCCTTTTTTTTTAACAGGCATTCTGGGCACTTGCATTCTTTACAAATACAAGAAGCGGTTTTATCACTATCTGCTTTATTTTCTTCTTTTTTCCCGCAAGGGTCTTTCTTATCGTCTTTTTTTAATGTGCAGTCTGGACAAGTGCAATTACCACACGTACAAGCATCTTTACGTTTTTCAGCATTTGAAGCTTCTTTTTTATCTATACAAGGATCTTTAGGTTTGCCACCATTTGAAGCTTCTTTTTTATCTATACAAGGATCTTTATCTTCCTTTTTTTTCAACAGGCATTCGGGACACTTGCATTCTTTACAAATACATGAAGAGCTTTTATCACCATTTGCTTTATTTTCTTCTTTTCTCCCACAAGGGTCTTTTTTATCGTCTTCTTTTAATGTGCAGTCCGGACAGGTGCAATTACCACACGTACAAGCATCTTTAGGTTTGCCACCATTTGAAGCTTCTTTTTTATCAATACAAGGGTCTTTATCATCTTTTTTGAGTGAACATTCATTACATAAACACGGCTTGCATGTGCATTTTATTTCCATTTCGTATTCTTGATTTTTGAGTGAGCATTCAGTACACTTGCATTGCTCGCATGTACATTTATTTTCATTTTTATCCTTTTTAAGAGAGCATGACTCGCATGTGCAATTAGGGCAAGTGCAAGCGGTTGCATCAGATAACTCATCCGTGGTATTTTTACCTATACATTTCTCACATTGACACTCCTGGCAGTTGCAAGGAAAACTCTCTGTTTCCATGAGCTGTGATTTTTTTCTTACACAGTCAGCGCATGCACACGAAGGGCAGATACAAACAACTTCACCCCTATCGTTTTTCACACCACCATTACTATTAATTGGTTTGCTGGACTTTTTACCAACGCAATCACCAGGACATTGGCAATCACCGCAAATGCAACCCGAGTCGCCTGCAGCCGTATCGACTTGTTGGGATTTACCAACGCAATCTTCGCACTCGCAGACCAAACAAAGGCAAGTTGTGTTTGACTGGTCTTTTGGACCATCCTTTTTGCCGCAACGGGTCTCGGGTTTCTTGCCTAAGCCGTCGCAATCTGGGCTCTGGCATGACGCGCAAATGCATTTTTTAACGTCTACAATAAGGATGTTATCATCGATTATTGAAGTGTTGTTAAAATATTGTTACCTGTGGATTTGTCTTCCAAACAACATTTGCAGTCAGAAGATGTACACTCAGGGCACATGCATGTTGCTTTATTGTCTTTTTCAGCTCGTTCATGAACACAATCTTTACAGTTACATTCTAAGCATATACAAGTACTTTTATCAGCTGCTTCTAAAAAGTATTGTTGATAAAATAAAATTTTAAAAGGAAGATTTCTCTACCTTCAGTCATGGTATTTTCATTCCATGGACAGTCGCAAAGAGGGCACGAGCAATCCGGTGTTCCGCAAGGACTCGTTTGCACATCGTCACCAGGACAATTACACACTACGCATTTGCATGGAAATTCTAACTGTGTGGTGCTGTTCACTTGGGATGACCTTGAAGGTGGTTTCAGTGACGATCTTTTGGGGGTTTTTGCCCCGCATTTTTTGTCACCGTTTTGCGATTTTCTTATGCTTATGTTCGATTTAGGTAATAAACTTAGGTTTGACTTGGGTAATAAACTGCTTCTTGTAGTGTTAGGTTGTTTCTTATTACATTTTTCTTTATCCTGTGTCGATATTACGCCGGCTGATTTGGATTTTAGCGATTTGCTGCAACTGCATTTTGACTTTTTCTTGTTTTTCAATGGGTCCTCGCATGGTTCGCATTCACACGGTGAGCAGTTACATTTTAGTTTATCCATGAATTATCGTATGATTTGTTCATTTTTCACTCTGAATTTTTCGATTTCATAAGGAGTTTTTTAAATTTATGACAAGTTTGTCAAAATGACGATTAAATAATATACACAGGTCAATTTTTGGCTAATCGCAAAAATACTATCTAGTCTATGACCTAACTCTTGGTGAGCCATGGTCCATGGAGCTTGTGAATAAAAAATTTATTTAGTACATTTTAAGTTGGTTGAAAGTTCAATAACAATATTAACAGGATGAATACTGAGGATAAGGATCAGTGGATATATAGATCTATATATATATCTATGTATATATATTAGTCCTGAAGTATCAAGCTTCTTATAACGATTAAATAATAAATACATTACACTGGTAACAGAAAAAAATCTATTTAACGCAGTTCTGATCATAAGGTGTTTTGGACCCTCTTATACCAAAAATGACATTAATGTTATTCGCTTGGGCCTTGTTTTGAAGATTTTACAAAAAATTTTATTTAAATTTTCGTAAAAATATTGATCAGCGACATATTTAATTATTTAATCGGGTGTACACCTAAGCAAAATCAAAAACTTTTGTTAAATTTTGATGAAAATCACAAAAGTTGTAGTTGCTTTTGGTCACTTTAACATGTCAAAATTGTGAATTGATCATATAAAATAGGCAAATTATTCCAAAGCGTACAAATCGCACATTTCATTACCTAGTAGATATAAGTATATAAGTATGAGTATAAGGAACGTATGGCTGGTCCCATCGGCAACGATCTCCCAGGGTTATTTTACCCCCTTTTAGTTCTCCCGCCACTGCACAACATTACCTGTCTTTAAGGAGGCGGCCACTTTGGTTTGGTTACCCCTTACAATGTTTAAAATATCTGTGGTGTAAAGGGTAATCTAAAAATGGTGTCTAAATCCAACACCAAGTGGTATTAATATAAACACCATGAATTATGGTTGAAAATGTTATATACAGCAAACATCCAAAAATATTTGATCATTTCGAACTACTGAGATGTGCATTTTACACCTAGTATAATTTAATTTGACCAAGAACCCATAATATTTAACACTGAAAAGGAGTTCAATTTACACTATTTTAGTAGGTATTTGAATTTACACTGGACCGACGAACCATATTTAACACCATTTTGGTTTGTATCGATAGACCATGTATGGTGTTAATTTGGTGTTAAAATGGTTATGAAATTTTGAACAGTTTAAATGTGCCTTTAATTTACAGATGTTTATTTCTTTAAGACGAGTTTCTTTTGCCTAGTGTTTGTCTAAGTTTGACTGATTAATGAATGTTTATGTGAGCCGTTGAATTAATGAATTTGAACACCGATAGCGGTGGTAGCACTATGGAAGAACGGACTCGTTTAACGAGAGCCTAGACACACGACCCTTTGCCTTTGGGTGAGGAGTGTCACTGTAGATTTACGGTAAAAATGTTTTTCAATAAAGAACACAAGATTATCCTCTTCCGAAAAAAGGGCATACAAGTTTTTTCTTTGTTCCGGTAATACAAACTTGATTCTAATAATTTTTCAGAAATTTTTGAGATGCCAAAGGGTCTTATGAGGTCATTTAAGTTACTATGATTGAAGAATTCAGATCCCGAAATAGTTCCTTTTTCAAGTACATCGACGATGGATACATTAGATTCATTAGTATGATTTCTACGCCAAATCTTTTCTTTCTTATCAGGATATGTCCACAAGCTTCTTATTAAAATTAATAATGTGGATAAGGCAATTAATATGATTTTTCGGTTATTTTTTTAAAGCCAAATATGCATTTTGCGCGTTTATCAATAATTAGCCACAACTAAAACAATATTGATTGGAATATAGGTATGTTAAAGTGGACACAACACTGTTATAAAAATAAGATTTGTTAACATGAGGTTGTAGTTGGTAAATTTTATTTTGTAAAATTTTTACAAAATTGTTTGTATACAACCTGGGATTTTAATTATTTTAACAAAGGAAAATTTTTTACCGAAAGCTTTGTAATGGTAAAATGCAATTTTGTAAGAATTTTGTTAATTTCAAAGGTTACAGATTATTTTGTTAATGTTAAACCAATTATTCCGTTGAAAAAGTACACGTGATTTCAGGCAGCCAATCAAAACATTTCCAACACTTAGGTATCAACAAGTTGTGTCAGCGTCAACGGGTGTTTATAATATTTAACGGTGACAGGAGTGTTTATAATGTCATTATTGGTTTTCAAATTAAAATTAGGTGATATAGTGAAGTTAAAAGTAGTGTTTTAGTATACTATAGTACTGATAGTTATGTTGTACCAAATTTATATATAATCTGATGATTTCAGAATGGTGTGATATTTAATTTTGTGTATGTTATTTTTGTGTTCATTTATGTAGGTATGTGTTAATTATGTTTTATTTAGAAAATTGTTTAATAAAGCAACATTTTTTATAACAAATTCTCGTTTTTAAAGTTCCCAATTTACAACAAATAATATTGATACTGGGTCTACATAAAAGTTTGTAAAAAATACAAGAATTATGGTTGAAATTGACATGGAATTTTGTTATTAAATCTACAAAATATCTGTAATAATTACAAACTACTTATTCAATTAGTTAACAGATTACAGTTGGTTGTAAACTTAACAAAAAGGTATGTGGACCAGGATTAACATAAAATCTGGTTATTATTTGGTTAAAATTAACAAATATTTTTTTACTGTGAATAAGCAATAAACTGACTTTTATTCATATTTAATCAAAATTATTCATGTTGCCACATCTTAAATTTCACGAAATAATGAAAATCAAATAAAACAGCGTTTCTTTCTATTATAGCGTGATTTTTATTACCTTCCTCTTAAAAAATGTTTACATAGGTATAGGTATTAAATGTTTCTTTGATATATATAGCTGCAGCATTCAAAAAATGACATCAACATGCTTGCAAACGTACCAAAATATCAAAAACAAAAAATTCTGCGCATGGTCATAAAAAAAGAAATTACGGACATTTTGTACAGCAGCTGTACAAAATGTCCGTAATTTCTTTTTTTATGACCATGCGCAGAATTTTTTGTTTTTGATATTTTGGCACGTTTGCAAGCATGTTGATGTCATTTTTTGAATCACCTTAGAAATAACCTTAGAAAACACAATCAGAACTTATTTTTTTATGTATTATTCTGGGTTATTTATAGTTGTTTTGGTTTTAATTTATCTTTCTTGGTTAATTGTGTCAACTAACTTATAAATCCAAAAATAAATATATTAGTGTGCTTTATAATGGACAATTTAATAAATAAATAAACAAACAAACGTTTAAGATAATACTAAAGCTATAATTATTTGTTATTGTATTATAATTTGTGATGAAAGTAAGTACATGGAATATTGCCATTACTTCAAAACCGTACAAGTTATTCTTTTACCAATTTACCCTTTTTTTCCAGATGATGAACTCTACCATAGGCAATCTTATACAATTAACAACCACCATGCTACCAAACATAGTGGGTAGCATTGATAGGGTGTCATTTTCATGGTACGATTACGCCTTATTTGTTTTTATGTTAGGACTTAGCGCCTGTATAGGAATTTATTTTGGTTGTTTCGGTAATAAGCAAGCCACTGCTAAGGAGTACCTGATGGGTGGTAAAAAAATGGCAGTGGTCCCAATAGCCTTATCGCTTGTTGCCAGGTATGTTAGTTATATTTTTGATAAATTTTTTAATAGAAAACCATATTTTTTTTAGTCATGTGTCTGGTTTGAGTCTGCTAGGTATACCTGCAGACGTGTACGTGTTTGGAGCATGTATTGGTCTTCAAATTGTAGTTGTTATAATAGGATATTTTATAAATGTTTACGTGTACCTTCCAGTTTTCTATAAACTCCAATTTATCAGTTTATTTGAGTATTTGGAAAAACGATTCGATAGCAGAACAAGAAGTTTTGCTTCTTTTTTATTTACATTGGGAATTTTACTCTATTTGCCTATTGTGATCTACATTCCAGCTCTAGCTTTATCTGCAGGTAAACATATTCTGTTATTTGTAAACATTAACATTTTCACTATTATATTTAGCAACTGAGGTTAATATACACTACATAACACCAGTGGTCTGTGGTGTATGCGTTTTTTACACTACCATAGGTGGTCTAAAGGCTGTGGTATGGACGGACGCTATACAATTCACTATAACAATAGGATCTTTGATAACAGTGTACTATTTAGGCCTTAATGCTGCAGGTGGTTTTTCAAATGTATGGACAGAAGCTTACAAGGGAAAAAGACTAACATTTCCGTAAGCTAAACTTTGAAAAAATTGCTTGTTTATGCAGTAATAATTATTTTTAGTATTGGTCTTGATATAACAGAAAGAGATTCAATTTTGGCCGTCATCATAGGCTCCTTATTTTGGTTTATCCAATTCAGTGCTGTCCACCAGACTTGTGTGCAAAAATTCTTATCAGTGTCGTCTTTTTCCAAGGCCAAAATGTAATATTAAACCACTTAACTGACGTTTTAACTCTTAATATTTTTTTAGAACTGTACTGTTATTTTCCGTTGGCATGTCCTTAGTTTTATTTTTCACAGTATCAATGGGTCTTATAATGTATACAAGATATAAAGACTGTGATCCCCATACACAAGGTTACATTGAGAAAATTGATCAAATGCTTCCCTACTATGTTTTAGATGTAGCAGGATCAATTCCAGGTTTACCAGGACTTTTCATAGCAGGAATATTTTGTGCTGCCCTTAGTACACTTTCAGCGACTTTAAACTGCCTCTCAGGAACAATATACGAGGATTTTATTGCTAAATATTTGCCAGTACATACTGAAAAAACCACTTCGAATATATTGAAGTTGATTGTTATTATTACTGGGGTAGTCAGTACTGTTTCAGTGTATGCTATAGAAAAATTTGGAAGCGTTTTGCCCATAGCGTATACTTTTAATGGGGTGACAGGGGGGCCTACCTTGGCACTTTTTACTTTGGGTGTTTTGTTTCCAAAAGTAAAAGGAAGAGTAAGTTGACTATTTTAGGTTTTTCTTTCATTTAGTTAATTAAAATTTTTTTAGGGTGCATTTTATGGTTCTTTAATAGGTCTTCTGGTTATGTCAATTGTTGCTTTTGGTACACAATACTACAAAAGTAATAATCTAATTGTACTTCCAACAAAACCTGTATCAATTGAGGGTTGCTATAACAATTTTAGTGAAAATTTGTTTGATATGATGACCACCACATCATTTGATCTTAATATTACAACTGAAGCCATTATTAATACAAAAACAACGCAAGATGAGGCTACAACAAACGTTTTTTTATTGTTTCGAATTTCCCATTATTATTACACGTTTCTTGGATGTTTGTGTACCATGATTCCAGCTATTATTTTAAGCTATTTCTGTAAGGAAAAAAATCTGCCTTTAAACAAAGATCTCATATCTCCTTTGGTACACTTTTTATTAACTGATGATGACGTTTCATTAAAAGATATTCCATACTACGATGTTCAGAAAGCTTTGAAAATTAAGGTTCAACAAGAAGAAGACCTTTGTTGACATTTGGAAATGATTTTAAGACTCCTAGATAGCATCTGTGATTTTCGGCGGTTTTTTTCACATCCTACGTCATTTTTATCATGCATGACAATACAATTTTAAGTTTAAAATCACAGAAAATTTCATATGTTACATAAGACAATACAAACAATATTTTTTTGCTGACGGTATCGTGGGCCTTTCATCCCCACCAGTGGATCCTCTAGATGTCGCATTCTATGCACACGCATTTAATATTTTGACAGTTAAAAGTGTGCGAAAATTTCTGTCAGAAACAGTTTTAATTGTGTTTCAACTGTACTTTATTCTAAAAATGTATAATAAGCCCGTTGCTGTACGAAAACTGTACCTATGTTCTTGCTGTTCCTGACCATATAATTTATTATATGGTCAGGTGTTTTCGAAACCTACTCTGGGTTACTTACCCGGTTCCCAAAAGTCACGCAACCAGGACTCCAAGGTTACTCGATCACTTTAGTAAGCGAAAAGCACAGGTTACAAAATTTTACCGCAATTAAAACCGCCTAAATTAAATAAATAAATAAAAAATAAATTTAAATATTTAAATACCTACCCAGACCGCAAAATCCCATTCCCTGCACATGTCAGGAATATTCCAAGGATTATTACAAGCGCACCAGAATATTCCCGATTTTTGGTTAACCCAGTCATCATAAAAAGAATATTCCATCCCTGATAGCAAAATTTGATTTTAAGAATCTTCTAAGAAGATATGACCCGGAATAATGGAATATTCTTAGAACCTTCCCTTATTGCTAAGAATGTTCTTAGGGACTTTTAAAACATTCAATAGATACCCTTTTAATGATGCAATTAGATTCTTAAAAGCTTCTTAAAATCTTCCTAAAAAGAATCCTAAGAACATTTTAAGAATACGTTTTTGGAATGTTCTTAGAAGGCTTCTAGGAAGCTTTTGAGAATATTTCCAAATATGTTCTAATATTTGTATTCTACATTCGTAAAATTCTTCAGGAGACGACAAATACGCCTCACTGTTATAATATGACAGTGAAATGAAGTTGTCGTCCCCTTAAAAAATTTTGCGACATATTAATATATTTATTTAAAAATATTAAATAAACAATTTGACCTCTAAACCATAAGTTGTATGACATTATTTCATAAAAAGTAAAATTGGAAAATTTTGTGGGATAAGTCAGATTAGATTGAAGTTGAAGATAGTTAGGGTTATTATACATAAAAATGTTAATTGAGAAATAAAAAATCGGTATACAAATTAATAAATATTTATTTTTAACATAAAATAAAATACCTATAATAAAAGTATTTTTGTTATCGAATATTGTTTTAATTTGACAAATAACTATAAAAAAATATTTTGGATTGTGTTTTTTACTTAGTATTTAATACTAATTACTAATTAGGTACTTAAGTATAGGTATATACCACATATATACGTAGTTTATGGTTTATTTTACTATTATATAGGTAACTGAACTAAATATGCTTAACAGGAATATTCCTAAATGAACTTTCTATAGCAATTACTTTCTTAACATTCTAAGCATGTTTAGAGTAGACTAATTTTTACTACTAAAACTTTGCACCTTGTAAGAACGTGCCTATAGGCCAGTAAGATTATTCTTAGGATCATGCTATATGTCTTTTAAGCATGGTCTTTAAAAGAAATATGATCCTAAGAATATTCCCACTGGAAGGTTTAAAAAACATTCTTAGAATAAAGTGTGCTATCAGGGATGTAGCGACATGCATATTGTTAGGAGAATGTACCTTAATATAATTTGGGGATTACTCCTAGCGCTTATGGCCACTTATACCCAGGAACTTAACTTAACTAGCTATTATTAGTTACTGAGTAGATCAGTCCAACTCTAATCATTGTTTAGCTGTGCCATCACAAACGAACATCTCCAATTGATATTATTAACCTATCGGTATATATAGTTATCAAGAGTGCGTAAGCAACGGTGAGAGGTATTGCAACTAAACTAATGAATATTCACTGGGAATGTTCTTAGATAGTGTTTGGAAGTTTTAGAGGATCATTCTATGGAATATTCCCAATGAATATTCCTAGAATGAAGCGGATTATTCCTAGATGATAGCGCATATTCCTGGAATATAACAAATTTGTAGAAAGAGAAAATTATTTATTGTTTTTTGAATATAAAGAACATTCACTGGGAATGTTCCAAGATGGTTCTTGGAAGTTGTAGAGGATCATTCTATGAAATTTTCCCAATGAATAATCACTGGGAATGTTCTTAGATGGTTCTTGGAAGTTTTAGAGGATCATTCTATGGAATATTCCCAATGAATATTTCTAGAATGAAGCGGATTATTCCTAGATGATAGGGCATAATCCTGGAATATTTTCGTACCTTCAGTGCAGTCTGCAGACCAATGGGTAATAATAATTTTCACATTTACTTAAATGTTGTGTAGCCTTTAATTATTCTTAGAAATTGTTTCAGACATATTTTTAAAAAATGCTCCTGAAATGCGCCGGATTATTCCAGTGAAGTAGATAATATTCCTAGGATTCTTAAGGATCAGGGCCAGATTTAGCACGGGGCTAGCGGGGCCACGGCCCAGGGCAAATTTCTCAGACTTGGGTAAAATGTATAAAAGGTTATGTTCGTATTATTCAAAATATATAGGGTGATTCAGACTTGTGGTGTCAAAAGCTCGGAAAATTCCTCTCATCAAAATATGAAAAAAAGTTCCTATAAACATGTGTCCGAAAATGCTACATTATCGAGATACAGGGTATTTCATTTAAAAAAAATGAGTTATTTATTTATAGCTTAAAAACGCTTTGGCAATTTTAAGTGTCAAAAATTTTAGAAATATTGAGGGCCTCCACCAAATTCGGCCCCAGAGCCTCAAAACTCTTAATCCGGCCCTGTTAAGGATTGTTTTAGACATATTCCCAAAGAATGCTCCGGGAATGTGCCGGATCATTCCAGTGAGTAATTTTTTTGTTATAATAAATAATTTGTTTTAATGCCTTGCAATTATTTAGAAAAAAACTACCCAACACCCAACAGTAGGTTGAAAATGTGACCAATGTTACAATGAAAATAGTTTATTGAATTAACAATTAATTTGTTGTTAAATTTACATACATTTTATTAATATTATAAAATTTTTTTTTAAACTAAAAGGGATTTGTAATTTTTACAAAATTTCTATGATTAATACCAGGGTTTCATTAATAGCACTACTATAAAACGTTTTTGTAAACGGTATAGAACTGTTTTTTGGACAAATAATAATAACTATATTTATTCATCAATGAGTTTCTGCATCTGGAAGAGTGTTATTTTTATAAACAACGTAAATTTACTTTATAATTAATACAAATGCTATTAAATAATTTTTATAAAAATTATCTTTTTGCCGCAACAAAAGCAATTGTTGGATCTTTAGTTTATAAAGACAAACTATTTTTTGTTATATTTATTAAAAAATGTGACGACGATTTTTACGCGTGATTTACTTCAATATGAAATCGCATTTGCTAGGCTGGGCTTTTATTTTTTCTTTTATTAAAAATTAAAATTAACTGTTTTTATTTATGCCTTAAAATAAAATCTGCACAATATTTGGGGGTGAAATATGGGGTTAATAAAAATAAATAAATTTTAAATAAATTTAATATTAAATTTTAATGACAATATCAACAAAGATCTTCTTCCTGACTAACGTTGAGTTCCATAGCTTTCTTAACATCGTAGTATGGAACATTTTTTAAATCAACTTCATCATCAGTTAACAAAAAGTGTACCAAAGGAGATATATTGTCTTTATCAACAGGCAATTGCTTCTCCTTGCTGAAATAACTTATTATATTCGCTGGAATCACGGTACACAAAAATCCAAGAAACGTGTAATAATAATGAGAAATGCGAAACAACCAAAATACATTCGATTCAGCCTTATCTTGCACTGTTTTTGTATTTATGATTGCTTCAGTTGTGTTGTTTATAAACTCAAATGATTTGGTGGTCATCATATCCAAAAACTCCTGACTTGAATTGTGATAGCAACCTTCAGTTGACAAAGGTTTTGTTGGATATACAATTAGGTGAATACTTTTGTAGTATTGGGCTTTAAAAGCCACTATTAACAAAACCAGCAGACCTATTATAGAACCATAAAATGCACCCTAAAAAATGTTAACTTACTACGTATAAGATAAAGTTCAGGAACTTACTCTTCCTTTTACTTTTGGAAACAAAACACCCAAAGTAAAAAGTGCCATGGCAGGCCCCCCTGTCACTCCATTAAACGTATAAGCTATGGGCAAAACATTTTCAAATTTTTCTATAACATACACAAAAGCTGTACAAACAACACCCGTTATAATAACAATCAACTTCAAAATATTCGCGGTGGTTTTTTCCGTATGTGCTGGCAAATATTTAGAAATAAAATCCTCGTATATTGTTCCCGATAGGCAGTTTAAACTCGCTGAAAGTGTACTGAGGGCCGCACAAAATATCCCTGCTATAAAAAGTCCTGGAAGACCAGGAATTGATCCTGCTACGTCTAAAACGTAGTAAGGAAGTATTTGATCTACTTTCTCGATGTAACCTTGCGTATATGGATCACAGTTTTTATATTTTGCGTACATCATTAGACCCATTGATGTTGTGAAGAATAAAACTAAGGACATGCCTATGGAAAATAACAGGACGGTTCTGAAATAAAATTGTTAGTTTAAACGTCATCTTAATCATAAGGTCTAATCTTACAATTTGGCCTTCGCAAAAGATGGCACAGATAAAAATTTTTGCACGCAAGTTTGGTTTACTGCACTAAATTGGATAAAATTAAATATGGAGCCTATGATGACTGCTAAAATGGAATCTCTTTCTGTTATATCAAGACCAATACTAAAAATAATTATTACTGCATAAACAAGCAATTTTCCAAAGTTTAGCTTACGGAAATGTTAGTCTTTTTCCCTTGTAAGCTTCTATCCATACATTTGAAAAACCACCTACAGCATTAAGTCCTATATAGTACACTGTTAACAAAGATCCTATTGTTAAAGTGAATTGTATAGCGTCTGTCCATACTACAGCCTTTAAACCTCCTATGGTAGTGTAGAAAACGCATACACCACAAACCACTGGTGTTATATAGTGTATATTAACATCAGTTGCTAAATATAATAGTGAAAATGTTAATGTTTAGAAATAACACAATATGTTTACCTGCTGATAAAGCTAGAGCTGGAATGTAGATCACAATAGGCAAATAGAGTAACATTCCCAATGTAAATAAAAAAGAAGCGAAGCTTCTTGTTCTGCTATCAAATCGTTTTTCCAAATACTCAAACAAACTGATACATTGGAGTTTATAGAAGACTGGAAGGAACACGTAAACATTTATAATATAACCAATTAGGGATACAAAAATTTGAAGACCAATACAAGCTCCATATACGTAAACGTCTGCAGGTACACCTAGCAGGCTCAAACCAGACACATGACTAAAAATATGTTTTTCCAATTGTTAAAAAAAAAAAGTTTAAAACATACCTTGCAACTAGCGATAAAGATATTGGTACCACCGCCATTTCCTTACCACCCATTAGATACTCCTTGGCAGAGGCTTGTTTATTATTGAAACAACCAAAATAAATACCTATACAGGCACTTAGTACCAACATAAAAACAAATAGGGTGTAATCGTACCATGAAAATGACACCTTATCAATGCTACCAACTATATTTGGTATCATTGTGGTCGTTAATTGTATAAGGTTGTCCATGGTAGAGTTCATCATCATCTAAAAATGTTAAGTACTTTTTTACCTTGCAGATACGTCGACTCGTTCTGTACTTACTTTTAGCACAAACTAAAATACATTAAAATATAATAATCTTTTTTAATACATTAAATGCTTTATGACCATGCAAAATTATCTATTTATTTTTGGATTTATAAATTACACAATTATTAAATTATATAAAAGCTTAACGAGTGTAAGTATGGTATCAAAAGACTTAAAATAGTTTAATAATAAGTTAGAATACTCTAAGGCTTTTGATATTATCAATCACGAAATTCAGTTATCTATTCTTATAATATGCAGTTTTCAAATGTAGCAATTTATCTTATCCAAAGCTATTTTAGAGATATGAGGCAGTTTGTTGAATCTAATAAAGGGAAATCAGCAGTTTATGTGGTGTATGTATTATAATACAGGGTGACCCATCAAAAATAGTTCAGCAAGCTTTACGGCTTTGTATGTAAAAATAAAAAAATCTTCGGACCCGTGTACTTTTGTTTTTATGGATACATTAATTTCATCACCGTTAATTCAACCCCTTAGCGCGGACAGCATTCACTCTTTTTTTTTATGGAAAGGGGTATGAGGCTATACATACACTGTTCAAAATTTCACCAAATTAACACCATACATGGTCTATTATCGAATCGATACAAACCAAAATGGTGTTAAATATGGTTCGTTGGTCCGGTGTAAATTCAAATACTAAAATAGTGTAAATTTAACTTTCACACAGTATTTTAAAAAAAAATTTACCTGGTGTAAATTGAACTCCTTTTCAGTGTTAAATATTATATATTTTGGTCAAATTAAATCATACTAAACAGAAAAAAAGGAAACAGGAAGTTCCTTGACGCATTACTAGTATATTACCAGTGGTATTATTCCAGAAAATTGAACCTTCAACTCGCTAGAGATAATGTTTATAGTGCGTTCCACCAACTTAAAATACTTCAAGTATTGTCAGCTGTTTCCACCCACTTAAGGTCTCTTTAGTATTGTATTTATGATTGCTTCAGTTGTGTTGTTTATAAACTCAAATGATTTGGTGGTCATCATATCCAAAAACTCCTGACTTGAATTGTGATAGCAACCTTCAGTTGACAAAGGTTTTGTTGGATATACAATTAGGTGAATACTTTTGTAGTATTGGGCTTTAAAAGCCACTATTAACAAAACCAGCAGACCTATTATAGAACCATAAAATGCACCCTAAAAAATGTTAACTTACTACGTATAAGATAAAGTTCAGGAACTTACTCTTCCTTTTACTTTTGGAAACAAAACACCCAAAGTAAAAAGTGCCATGGCAGGCCCCCCTGTCACTCCATTAAACGTATAAGCTATGGGCAAAACATTTTCAAATTTTTCTATAACATACACAAAAGCTGTACAAACAACACCCGTTATAATAACAATCAACTTCAAAATATTCGCGGTGGTTTTTTCCGTATGTGCTGGCAAATATTTAGAAATAAAATCCTCGTATATTGTTCCCGATAGGCAGTTTAAACTCGCTGAAAGTGTACTGAGGGCCGCACAAAATATCCCTGCTATAAAAAGTCCTGGAAGACCAGGAATTGATCCTGCTACGTCTAAAACGTAGTAAGGAAGTATTTGATCTACTTTCTCGATGTAACCTTGCGTATATGGATCACAGTTTTTATATTTTGCGTACATCATTAGACCCATTGATGTTGTGAAGAATAAAACTAAGGACATGCCTATGGAAAATAACAGGACGGTTCTGAAATAAAATTGTTAGTTTAAACGTCATCTTAATCATAAGGTCTAATCTTACAATTTGGCCTTCGCAAAAGATGGCACAGATAAAAATTTTTGCACGCAAGTTTGGTTTACTGCACTAAATTGGATAAAATTAAATATGGAGCCTATGATGACTGCTAAAATGGAATCTCTTTCTGTTATATCAAGACCAATACTAAAAATAATTATTACTGCATAAACAAGCAATTTTCCAAAGTTTAGCTTACGGAAATGTTAGTCTTTTTCCCTTGTAAGCTTCTATCCATACATTTGAAAAACCACCTACAGCATTAAGTCCTATATAGTACACTGTTAACAAAGATCCTATTGTTAAAGTGAATTGTATAGCGTCTGTCCATACTACAGCCTTTAAACCTCCTATGGTAGTGTAGAAAACGCATACACCACAAACCACTGGTGTTATATAGTGTATATTAACATCAGTTGCTAAATATAATAGTGAAAATGTTAATGTTTAGAAATAACACAATATGTTTACCTGCTGATAAAGCTAGAGCTGGAATGTAGATCACAATAGGCAAATAGAGTAACATTCCCAATGTAAATAAAAAAGAAGCGAAGCTTCTTGTTCTGCTATCAAATCGTTTTTCCAAATACTCAAACAAACTGATACATTGGAGTTTATAGAAGACTGGAAGGAACACGTAAACATTTATAATATAACCAATTAGGGATACAAAAATTTGAAGACCAATACAAGCTCCATATACGTAAACGTCTGCAGGTACACCTAGCAGGCTCAAACCAGACACATGACTAAAAATATGTTTTTCCAATTGTTAAAAAAAAAAAGTTTAAAACATACCTTGCAACTAGCGATAAAGATATTGGTACCACCGCCATTTCCTTACCACCCATTAGATACTCCTTGGCAGAGGCTTGTTTATTATTGAAACAACCAAAATAAATACCTATACAGGCACTTAGTACCAACATAAAAACAAATAGGGTGTAATCGTACCATGAAAATGACACCTTATCAATGCTACCAACTATATTTGGTATCATTGTGGTCGTTAATTGTATAAGGTTGTCCATGGTAGAGTTCATCATCATCTAAAAATGTTAAGTACTTTTTTACCTTGCAGATACGTCGACTCGTTCTGTACTTACTTTTAGCACAAACTAAAATACATTAAAATATAATAATCTTTTTTAATACATTAAATGCTTTATGACCATGCAAAATTATCTATTTATTTTTGGATTTATAAATTACACAATTATTAAATTATATAAAAGCTTAACGAGTGTAAGTATGGTATCAAAAGACTTAAAATAGTTTAATAATAAGTTAGAATACTCTAAGGCTTTTGATATTATCAATCACGAAATTCAGTTATCTATTCTTATAATATGCAGTTTTCAAATGTAGCAATTTATCTTATCCAAAGCTATTTTAGAGATATGAGGCAGTTTGTTGAATCTAATAAAGGGAAATCAGCAGTTTATGTGGTGTATGTATTATAATACAGGGTGACCCATCAAAAATAGTTCAGCAAGCTTTACGGCTTTGTATGTAAAAATAAAAAAATCTTCGGACCCGTGTACTTTTGTTTTTATGGATACATTAATTTCATCACCGTTAATTCAACCCCTTAGCGCGGACAGCATTCACTCTTTTTTTTTATGGAAAGGGGTATGAGGCTATACATACACTGTTCAAAATTTCACCAAATTAACACCATACATGGTCTATTATCGAATCGATACAAACCAAAATGGTGTTAAATATGGTTCGTTGGTCCGGTGTAAATTCAAATACTAAAATAGTGTAAATTTAACTTTCACACAGTATTTTAAAAAAAAATTTACCTGGTGTAAATTGAACTCCTTTTCAGTGTTAAATATTATATATTTTGGTCAAATTAAATCATACTAAACAGAAAAAAAGGAAACAGGAAGTTCCTTGACGCATTACTAGTATATTACCAGTGGTATTATTCCAGAAAATTGAACCTTCAACTCGCTAGAGATAATGTTTATAGTGCGTTCCACCAACTTAAAATACTTCAAGTATTGTCAGCTGTTTCCACCCACTTAAGGTCTCTTTAGTATTGAACAACTTGTAGTGTCTTACTAAAGCAAAGGACTACCTGAGCTTATATACTCTTCATGTAAGTCAACAGAGGCGAGATTTAAGAACATCACGTGATCCACACCGCCTTTGCCGCGATCTGTACACACTATGCAACCAGGAAAGCACGGCAAATTGTTTTAATCGTTTTAACAGAGTGCTTTAGGTTGAAGTAACTCTTATTTTACAAACAACATATTTAGAAAACTAAACCATACAGCGGGTTGGTTTCACTAAAGTTTTCTGGGTTAATTTAAGCCATTAAAAAAAAAATAATAACTATGTGGTTTAGTACCGTCAAACTAATCTTTGTTTATATTAACCTTCCCACAGTTGATTTAAATAAATACTTATGGGTCAACTAAATTAATATCGTTAAATGAACTATTCCTTTTTTTCTGTGTAGGTGCACTTCTCAAATATTTTTAGATAAACACCGTTTTGGTGTTTGCTGTATATAACATTTTCAACCTTAATTCATGGTGTTTATATTAACACCACTTGTTGTTGGATTTTGACACCATTTTAAGATTACTCTTTACACCACAGATATTTTAAACAGTGAATGTTGTTATACGTATAGAAGAAAAGGGCCGAGAAATTTAATTTAATTTTATTGATTAGAACTTACGTAGTATTGTATTAACTGTTAAAAAAATCCGCCGCTTACCTCCATACAATAGCTGTACTAGTACAGTAACTGTACAGTGTTTTCGGACATTATGAAGAATATCGTGTATAATTTGATGTCATTTATTAGTGATGCGGTTCCGTAAATCTCTTAAGGATTCAGGTTGGGTGGCATAAATTTTGGATTTCAGATGTCCACAAATCAAGGGGAGAAAAATCCGGCGAAGTCGCGGGACATTCGATAGCACCCCTCCTTCCAATCCATCTACCAGGGCAGGTTTTATCCAGAAACTGCCTTACTGCATAATGGGATCTGATTTTCTTTATGGTAACGTTGGTCGTTTAAAAAAAATGGTCCAATTATGTGATCACTAAAAATACCAGCCCAAACGTTTAATTTCTGAGGATGTAAAATATGGAAGATCCTTAAATTCGTGTGGAACCAATAAGGCAATTATAACGATTGACAATGTCATTAAGAAAAATTAACAGCAAATGAGAAGCAAACAATAAAAAGGTAGTTGGGAGTATTTATAATTATTTTGGACATTATTTCCCAAAATTGTAAACG